CTAGGGAGGAAAATTGGGTTTTTGCCTCTTGTAGGCTTTGTCACACACCAGAAAGAGGGCTTGGGGACCGCCCCCCCGGGAATAATCTGGGAGTTGAAAGAGGGCAGAATCCCTCCCAGGAGACAGGAGGCCCAAGGTCACTCACAAGAAGAGACAGCAAGGTCTTGCCGTTGGAATACTTTCAGAGACCGTTGGCAACAAGAGAGTCTTCCTTTGGGGTCCAAGCCAAGGGAACACCCCAGGCTCCCTTCTGCAGCAGACGCTTCTAGAAAAGCAGGGCACCTACAGCTCTGTGTGTTTTCTGTCCACCCAGCGGACATCCTGGAATCAGGACCTGGGGACCCAGCGATGGACCAGAGGGAGCCCCAGCCCCAGGAAGGGCCAAACCAGGACCATGCTCCCCGTGCCCAGCATGGAGCAGGCGGGCTTTGGGCACCAGACCAGGAGGTCTGGACATTATCCTTCAGGAGTGAGGCCGCCCCAGAGGGGCTCAAGCAGGAGAGCAGATTTGCATTCTAGAAAGTTCTCCAGGGCATTGCATGGGAGAAACCACAGGTATTAGGGAAGGGCCGTGGAGATGATGCTCAGGTCTCGGTGTATGTTGTAGGCCTTTCCTGGAATGCAGTGAGGAGGGCTATGATGTGCCTCGCAGGGCCAGGGACCAGATTCCCCGGCACCATGAAGGCAGATGGACCCACAGATGTATGCTGCTCGGCCCAAAGAGGGCTTTCAAAATAAGAAAGGCGGGGGTCCACATATGTGCTTCTCCAGGGCACGGACTGCTTCCTGGGGGGGGTCATGCTGACACCGGTGCCCGTGCTGCCCCCCAGGAGAGTAGCTGGGGAGGAGGGAAGGAGGCCTGCTTTGTCCTGTGTCTCTCTGCACAGTTCGTATGTTTCACTCAGCGCACGTAGCCCCTTCTCAGCAGAACACACACACACACACACACACACACACACACACACAAGCCAGCAATGGAGGGAGGCCTGCATCTCCCTGTCACAGATGATGAGGCCCAGGTCACCAGCTGGCATATGGGAAAGGCTGAATTTGGTCCCAAGTGTGTCTGAATCCAGAGCCGGCTTCCTCTGACCGCCTGGCGTGTCTCCTGGAGCTCGGCCACGGGGCTCTCTTCCAGAAGATGGGGAGACCCAGCTCTGGGGCAGACAGACTCAGGGGATGCTTCCTCCCTCCTTGGGGAGGCTCCCAGAAGGGCCATCTGAGCTGGGCCTTAGGGAATAAGTACGAGTTCTCCAGGTGGAGGCAGGGCTGTGTGCAGTGGAGAGAACTGGGAAAGCTTGGGGCCAGGAAACAGCATGATGGGTGAAAGTCCGTGGGCCTCCAGAGGCACCCGATGTAGCACTGAGACCTCTGGAGCAGCTCTCTCCAAATCCCAGGGACCACCAGGAAGCCGTGGTGTGGCAGAATTTAGGGGGAAACTGGGGCGAACCCAAGGCAGGAACAGCCCTGCTGGGGAGAGCAGGTAAGGAGGATGCTGAGGTTCAGAGAGGTTGACTGGCTCTCCCAGGGCCACACAGCACTCCCTCTGCTAGAGGGCTAGGGTGACAGACGGCCCAGAGAGCCCTGCCCAGAGATGGTCTGTTCAGCTGGGGAGACAGACATCCCAGGAATCCCAGAAGGAAGGCAAGTCTTGCAAGGCTCCCTCCTAGGTCCCCCAGGGCCGCCACTTGTCAACTGTGCTGCCCTATGCTGCAGGGGAGGGAGCACAGCGTAGAGAGGAGAGCCTGTTTTAGCCCTTGGGCAGTCCCACCAGCTCGGCTTCTTCATCTGCAAGATGCGGCCCTGGGGCCTGCCTCCCAGGGCGGCAGTGAGAGCAGAGGCTGTGCAGGGTATGGCAGGGTTCAGTGGGGTCCATGTGGGTGAGCACTGGAGCACTCGTAGACTTGCCTTGTAGAGTCTCTGCCTCTGTGGCCCCAAGGGGAGGGGTGCCCACTTCCCTCAGCCCCGCACAGGGTCCCAGGCCCTGCCAGGGCCCCTTGCTGCCGGTGACTTGGCCGTGGGGCCCACTGTGTCCTCCCTCCCAGCACGTGAAGAGGAAGGAGATTAATTTAGCTTAAGCTGCACCTTCGTCTCTTTTTCATCTCAGTCTTTTTCATCTGCAGGACGGATTTGGGCAGATGGGGGAGTGTGGCCAGGAATCTTGGCGCCCAGAGGACAGAAACCTGAAGTGCCTTTCTGGGCTCCAGCCCTGCCTCGTTACTGGCTGCCTGGCCTGGGGCAAGGCCTTCCCTCCCTGGGCCTCAGTCTACTCCTCTGTAAGAGAGGAATGATAAGACCTGCCTTACAGGCTTGTTGTGGTGATTCAGACTGAGTATGGGGGCCACGAAGAGCCCCCAGGTAAGACCCAGGGTAGGACTGGGCCCCGTGAGGCCTAGCAGGGCCTGAGCGTGGGGAGTAGAAGAGGTGCAGGGCCCAGCATTAGCAGACAAAGCGGGGGAGGCCTCAGGCATGTGGATCCAGGGGTCAGAACAGCCAGGAGATGGGCCAGTGAGGGCAGCTCCTGGTGAGCCTCAGCAATGAGGCCTGGGCCTGGGGCTGGGGCTGAGGACCTGACCAGGAACCCCCAGAGCCAAGACCCCCCCAAGACTTTGGAATGACCCCACTCCCCATCTCCTGGGATTCCATCTGCCCCCAGGGCATTGCCCCGAAGTCCAGACCCTCAGCTGACCTTGAGGCTGATGGCCAGAGGCACTTAAGGGACAAATTTTCAGAATTGCCCTGGTTTCCTGCCTGGAGCGAGGCCCTGGTGTGAGCGCCTCAAGGAGTAGCCCCTCTTAGGGCATCTGGGGACTTGGCTGGCTCAGGGAGGTCTGGTGGCTGAGCCAGGGAAATGGCTATTCCCTGCTGGGCCCAGCGGCCAGGGGCTGCTGGCTCCCAGGCCGCGTATACACCCGAGGGAGGAGAGACTGGCTTCCCAGAGCCAGAGAGTGTCTCCCAGATGGAGGAGCCAGGGAAGAGCCCAGCAAGCAGGGGACACAGCCCATGCAAAGGCATGAAGATGGGAAAGAAGCAGAGAGCTTGGGAAGACCCAGGGACACAGGGCAACCGCAAGGCAGAGGCCGGCCCTGGCCAAGGGGACTCCAGTGCTGGGCCGGGGAGCGCAGTCTCCGCAGTAACAGGGACAGACCCACGTGAGAGAGACCAGGATGGGAGGGAGGGTGATGCGAGGCAGAGCTGCCCCTCTGCCCACAGGCCCTCTGCCTCTGGGCTGTGCTCTCCGAGCATGGTGCCCTCCCTAAATGCCCAAATGCTACTTTCTCAGGCTAGCGCTCCCTAATCTTTCCCAATACCCACCCCCCGAGAGCCCGGCAGGCTGTCATGCTGCTCAGAATTGGCAGAACCCTTTGTCTGTCCTGCCCCTGAACTTTCCGTCTTATTCCCTGTATATCTGCACATGCTTCGTCTCTCTCGCTACCTTTCCTTACTTTGACTCAACACACATTGAGAGGCGCACGCTCTGCGCCAGGCTTCATCCGAGCACTGGCGACACGGGGATCAGACCCTTTTCCTGGATCTACTGGGAGACTTGTGTAGACCACACGGTAACAAAGCATGGTGTCATGTGCGACACCTAGAAAATGTGCTGGGTGCAGGAGCAGATGGCCTGATTCTGGGGAGTGGAGGAGCCTGGAGGGCTTCGTGGAGGAGGAGGTGACTGAGCTGAAGATGGCGCACAAGGGGGTGAAGGGTGTGCGAGGCGGGCAGGCGGTGTGCGCGAGGGTTCGGGAGAGTGGAGCTGCCCATTTGCGGTGTCTGTGGGGATGAGGAGGCCGTGGCAGGGAGGAGGACAGGGGTTGACAGGGAACGGATGGACCCGGTTTGTGGCACTGCCCTTGGATTCTTGTATACTCCCACCGGGTGGTGGAGCTCAGCGGGGCTTTCTAACTGGGCAGAGGCTGGACAGGCGGAGGGCGCCGGTGGGGGCTCCTTGGCAGCAGTCCCTGACACCACGGAGCCCCCAGAGCCTCTGAGATGTCCCAGCCCTTGGGACCCAGCCTTGGGAGATTTGGCTTCTCTTGACCTTGACTTTGGCAGTGCTGGGAACTCAGAGAGCCTTCAGGACTCTTCCAGTCCTGTCTTAGCCTGTTTGGGCTGCCCCAACAAAGCACCACAGACCGGGTGGCTTAGAAACAACAGAAATCGACTTCTGGCAGTCCTGGAAGCTGGAGGTCTGAGGTCAGGGTGCCGGCGTGGTCGGGTTCTGGTGGAGGCCCTCTTCCAGGCTGCAGGCGCCCATCTCCTCCCTGTGTCCTGTGGTGGACACAAAGGCAGGCAGCTCTCTGGAGCCTCTCTTCTAAATAGGCTGACATCCTATTCATGAGGCTCCACCCTCATGACCTAATCGCTTCCCAAAAGCCCCCTCTCCTAACACCATCACACTGGGGGTTAGGTTTCAACACATGCATTGGCGGGGGGGAGGACACATTCAGTCCCTGCCAACTTACACGTACAGAACTCAATTCGAACTGGCTTAAAGAAAAACCGTGGACAAATGGAAGTGTGCAAGGGTGGGTGATTTCAGCTTCAGACCCCTTGCGCCGCTTTTCTCTGTCTCTCAACTCTGACTTCCTCTCTGTTGGCTCTTCCTCAAGCCACCTGCTACCCGCAGGAGCTCCACCTTAGCCCCATCAGGAGAAAAGAGCCCTCTTTCTCCTAAAGGGGCCGCCATTCAAAGTCCCAGACATGATGCCCAGCCCTGAACCACTCACTCTGGTTGAGGGAATGTGACCACATGCCCAAGCCCCGTATGTGCAGATGGGGGTGGTGCTGGAGAAGGAGAGGGGCTGTCTTGTCAGAGGAGGGGATTCTGGGCAGCAAGATCCAGATGCCTCCACTCCAGGTCCGTGTGAAACGTACTCAGACCGTGGGCTCATGTCAGGTTTTGGTCTCTGATACTCAGTAGTGCCTCTGGGTCATAAAACACACAGGAAATGCCTTTCTGGTGTGTAACCTGTGCTATCTGTCTCTCTCATTTCCAGGGGCCACTGGGTCTGGATGGCAAGCCTGTAAGTGATGACAGGGCAATTCTAAGTGGTCCTGGGACTGGGCCATTTGTGGGGCTGGAAGTGATGGTGGGGTGCCAGAGGGAAGGGGCCACTGGAAACCTGGCTCAGCATGGAGAGAAGTCATTTGGGCATCAGACTGAAGTTCAAATCCAGTTTCACTACCTGCTGACTATTCAGCCTTAGGGAGGCCCCTTCACGTCCCAAGCCTGAGGCTCTGTCAAATGGGTCCGTTAACCCTCCTCACATTACCCAGCCCAGCACGCTGGGGATGTGGAGAAGGGTGGATAGCACCATCCCTGACATCTAGTCAGCCTTCAAAACAAACAAGCCCCTCGTAGCCAGCCCCAGGCACAGAGCATCTCCCCACACAGTCTCAAGACTTCAGTGGTAGGCATTGGGCTGATGAGTTCTCAACATCTGGGCAGGAGCCTGCGGTCCACAGGCATCTTCAGCACAATGAATAAGCTGCTCAGGGAGACAGCATAATTAAATACATAGTTGGATTTGGATGTATAGGTAGGTGGGTGGGTGGATAGATGGATGGATGGATGAATAATGAATAGTTGGATAATGAATGATTGGATGGATGGACAGATGAACGGGTTGATGAACAGATGGATGGGTGAGTGAATGGAAGGTAGGATGTATAAATGGATAGATGGAAGTGTGGATGGATGCATGCATGGATGGAAGGATGGAAGGAAGGTACGGTGGATGGATGGATGGAGGGATGGATGGAGGGATGGATGGATGGGCAAATGGATTGATGAATGGTTAGATGGAAGGATAGACAGATGGATAGATAGATGAATGGGCTGATGAACAGATGGATAGGTGGGTGGGAAGGAAGGAAGGATGTCTGGACAGAAAGATAGTCAAATGAGGTAATGAATCAATAATTGTACCAACAGTCAGATGCATGATGGTTGAGCAGACAAGGAAGTGAGGAATGAATGAAATAAGTGATTGAGGTGTTGCCAGATGATGTGTACCATATTAGAGGATGGAGGAATGAACTGACCTCCTAGATGGACAAGTTGTTAAGTGAATGAACCAGCAAAACCATTATGGACTGAAGGGATAATGGACAGTTAGGGGGCAGCGGCCGCCGGGCACAGCAGGGGCTGAGCTGGGAGGGCTCTGCTCTCTGCGGGGAGTGACAGCACATGCGCCCCTACCCCAACTGAGAAGTCCCGGCAACCCTCAAGTCCCCTGCCTCCCTCATGCAGAGGACTGGTGTGTGGAGCTTCCTTGGGGCCGGCAAGGGCAGCCCTCATTAAAAGCAGACAGACTTACATGTTTCCCCACCCAGCTACCAACAGCTCTGCTCAGCTTCACAGGCCCTTCTGCCCCCACAGCCTTAGGGAAGCCAGAGGGGAGCCAGCCCAGTCCTCCTTGCTCATGCCTGTCTTTCTGCACCTTTTTTCTACAGGGACTTCCAGGCCCCAAAGGGGAAAAGGTAAGTGATGCTGGCAGCTGTCTAGTTGGGGATATGATGAAGGACGCCAGAAACCTGCCCCCAAACCCCAGCTCCGGAGTGTGACCCCGGGCACGTCACACCCCTCCTGGAGCCTCAGTTTCCCCATCTGGAAAGTGGGGCTAAGAGGGCCTCCCTCCTAATGGTTACATGGCTTATGTTTAACAATTTCAAGTGCCCAGGGGGTGACATTGGAGTCCCACCCTCCACCGGAGAAAGACAAAACTCAAAGCACAGTCTTCCCAGAATAAGGAGTTTCCAAAGCAAGTAATCATGAAGCGGGGGGGTGGGGGGGGGGCAGGAGAGCCTGGGCGGGTGGGGGAGTTGAACAGTCACTATAGATGGTATTCTTTGTAAGGAATGCATCCCCCCCCCGAGGCAAACAGATGGCTGAGAGCTGCCCCTGTGATCTTTACAGCCCCTTGTGAGAAAGGCTTCCCTGGCATTCGGCATGAAATGTCACGGCAGAACCCTGGAGGGCAGGGACCTCCAAGTGCCGCGGAAGGGAGGGGGAGAGAGGGGCCACCCATGTGTCCCACTGTGGGATCAGAGCTAGGGAGGGACCAGAGCGGATGCAGGTGTGGCAGGACGCTTCTAGGGAAGGGCTAGGCGAACGCCGGCCACGTCCACCCCAGCCCCTGCTCTGATGTGCCCGCTGAGGTAAGTAAGGGTGGCCAGGGTCCCCATCCACCCTCAGAGCTGTGCCGGGTACAGGATCCGGGGCTCCGAGCATCCAGGTTTGCATTAGGGCTCCATCACCAACTGCATTGCTTTCGATGGGTTGGCCGGCTCCGTGGGCCTCAGTTTCTCCATCTGTCAGTTAAAGCAACCTCACAGAGATTTCCTTCTCGTTGGCTCTAGCTGAACAAAGCAGAGGCTTTGAACCCAGAGAGAATTTGGCATCTTGGCATCCGTCACTTCGTAACATCCTGCCCCAAAAGTTGGTGACTTAAACAATCAAGTAATCACCAGCCCTCATTATGTCGAGGTTCCAGGATTCCAAGAGGACACGGTGGGAGCAGCTCGTCTCTGCTCCACTGTGTCTAGGGGCTGGCCCCAGACAACACAGCGCCTGGTTCCAAGCCCTGCGTGTGCTGGCTGTGTCACCTTGGGCTGGTTACTTAGCCTCTCTGTGCCTCGGTTTCCTCATTGGAAACGGAAATTAAAAACAGAGCCCACGTGTTATGTTTGTTAGACTTGGGTGAGACTACCCCACGTGTTATGTTTGTTAGACTTGGAAGAGACTACGTGTGCAAAGCACGGAGCACAGAGTAAATGCTCAATACGTATGATAAAGTAATAATAGTAGCAGTGATCTGTCTTCCTGCTTCTTGTCCTTAGGGTGCACCCGGAGACCTTGGCCCTCGGGTAAGAGCGGACGCAAGACCCCCTCACCCGCCCCACACAGTTTGTCTTATTGTATAGTAAGGCGTATCTAGCGTTTCTTCTGGGTCCCTACACCTTACCGCACAGGCCCACAGTCTCTGCCCACTGCCTACTGCCCACCATCTGTTCTTCTGTGTGGTTTCACTTAAGTGGCCACGGGCTGGAAATCCCAGGGCTTCCTCCCAGTCCTACTTGTCACCATGGATGGGGGTTGGGGGAGACAGCGGGGCTAGCGCTGGCCCCAGACCCGAGACTAACCTTCCTGAGGATGGCTGGTACCCCAGAAGGAGGGAAGGTTATGGGTCAGCAGCTGAGCTCAGCCACTTACCAGCCAAGTAACTTTGAGCAACTCAGTTTCCCCTCTGTGACTCAGTTTCTCCAACTGTGGTGGGTGGGATTGACAGCCCCTGACCCAAGCTGCTGTGCCAAAGGTTCATTGCAGTCATAAAGGTGGGCACCCAGCACCCAGCATGGGGACAGTAGATCCCCTGGCCCTCAGTGCCCCCAGGGCCCAAGGGACCCAGAAGGGCCTCATGCCAAACCTGGAGTCTCTTCAACGAAGCAGAGTGCGGAGCCCCACAAGGCAGATCTGGGCAGAGAGAGGGTCACGTAAGGGGGCCCAAAGGCATGCCAGCACAATTCCTACCACCACTGGGGTGGAGGCCTGACTGCACTAGAGGGGTGTGCTCCCAGGGGTTTTCAAGAAGGTTATGGGGTGGAAATTGTAGTGGGTGAGCGAGTCCCCCCAGCCAGCATCTGTAAGCCCTAGAGGCAGGGGATGAGCAGGGGTGAGAGGTGGGCACTGTGGATGGGGGATGGGAAGGGAAAGCAGCTGCAGGACGAGGTGTGGCCACAGTCCCAGTCCCAGCTCTGCAGCCTCACAGCTCCGAGCCTGCTTTGTGCACCAGGCCGGCAGGGCCCACATCACAGATGGTCACGAGCAGGAGCTGAGAGCCCCGGGCTGGCCATGCTGATCTTCTGAAAATGGGGTGCCCACGCCTCAACAGACTAGAACTCCCCCAGCCCGGGAGTCATGAGAGATCCTTTCCAAGGCCCTCCCTCCGCCCTTCATGGGTGTCCTCTCATTGTCCCAAGGTTCCAGCCACCTCCGAAACAACCTCCGTCCTTGAGAGTTCCGGGGCTTAAATCAGCAACGTGTCACTGTCCCTCACGACTCCGTGGGCTGGTGGGGGGACCTCGCTCATCGAAGGCAAAGGCTGCTGGGCCTGCAGCCCAAGACAATGGCACCCTCCCTCGGCCTCGGTCGGTGCAGCTGTTGGCTGGAAGCTCGGCTGGGGGGTATCTCTGTGCATCTGGGCTTCTCCCAACGTGGCGCTGGGCCTCCCAGAGGGGCATCCCAAGCCTAGGATTCCAGGAGGCTGGAAGCGTACCTGCCAGGCCAGTTAAGAGCCTGCCAGGCCTTACTTCTGCGGCATCCTGTCCGTCCCATCAGTCATGGGGCCCATCCAAAGTCAAGGTGGGGAGAGAGGAACAGGCCTCCAGCTCTCGATGGGGCGTGGTAGGTGGGACCCCATTGCAAGGGGCCTGTGGGATGGGAATGAGCATAGTGGCCACCTTTGGAGAATGTCGTCTGCCTCTCCCGGTTGCTGGCCCTTTCTGCCTTCCTGACCACACAACCTGTTTGCTGGCCAGATGGTTTTCCCACGGCTCAATCCAGGCTTTATAAGTAGAGACCATCACGGGTACAGTCGCCGCGTCTTCAAGGTAGCCTGGCCCCGTGGCGTGTCCGGGCCTGCTGGTTTGCGTGCTCCCTTGACTCACCCCTGCATTTCCAGGGTTAGACCTCAGCCAGCCGATCCCAGCGTGCAGACAAGGCCAGCCTCGTGTCCCAGGTCACTCAAGGCCAGAGCCTACAAACCTCTGCTGGGGCCCGCTCAAGTGTCGAAACCCATTTTCCTCCTCATTAAGTAGAGTCCGGCCAGTGGTGCCCATCGTGGGGCCCCTGGGCTGTGGAGGGAACAGCGGGGGATGGGGTATCTTCCAAGTCTTCCTGACACAGCATCAAATGGAACAGGAATTACCCACCACCATCCCCACCCGCGCCTGGGCAAGCTAACCAAACTGTCGGTTTTCTTTACTTCAGACTGGAGGCATGGCCTCTGCATTGGGACCCTAAGTGGTGGACACTGAGAGCCTCAGTTAATTCTTTAATTGGGGGAAACAAATGAACTGTGTCTGAAAGTCCAGTTGGCCAGAAAGGTGAACCTTCACATCATGGGATCCAGGGATTAAAAATGCGTCCAAAAGGCATCCCTTGCCTCACTGTCCAGAAGAGGTGCTGCCTTTCTTAGCTCTGTAACCCTGGACCCTCTCTGTTCCCGACCACTCCATCTGTAAAATGGGTCCATAGCAGGGCCTCGGCCGGGTGGTCACAAGGGTTGGGCGAGCCAGCTTCCGGGGAGGTCAGTGCTGGGCACACAGCGGGGGCGACCTCCACAAGAGGCTTCCTCCTTTCCTGGCCACGGGAAGTTTGGGGACTGCTGTCGTGGTGAGCCAGCCGAGCCCCATGACTATGCCCAGCGGCAGTGCTGGGCGGGAACCGCGGGGGCTGCAGAAAGCACCGGTGGCACCGTGGTCCCCCCGCCGTCCTTGCAGCTGGGGCCACGAGGTGAGGGCTCCGGCTGCCTGAGGTCTGACCCCGTACTAACACCGGGTCCTTGAGTCGGGGACAGGATGCTGCATGACTGAGACTTTGTGGCCCTTCGTTGCTCTTTTTTTTTTTCAACTTTTTATCTTGAGATAACTGTAGGTTCACAATTAGTTGTAAGAAATGATACCCCGTGCACCTGTCCTCCACGTTCCCCAGATGGTGACATCCTGCCTTCCCCGGAGTAATCTCACCACCAGGAAATTGGCACAATCCACTGCCTCATTCGGAGCTCAGCCATTTTGCCCGTCTGGATGTGCTTAAGTCTGGGCGACGTGATCACGCTCAGGAGATTCCAGTGACCACCGCACGCAGATCCCTCGCACTGCTACAGTCGCCCCATCCCTACCCCCGCCCCGGGCAGCCACTGACCCATGCTCCATCTCTGTGATCTTTCCGTGTCAGCCGCGTGGTGTATTTGCAGCCATAGCGTATGGTCACCTTGTAAGATTGGCTTTTCTCACTCAGCAACATTCCCTCGAGATGCATCCACGTCATTGCAATGTGGCTGTGCCTCCTTGTTCCTTTCCATTTATTGCCAAGCAGTGCTCCGTGACAGGGCTGTAGCCCCGTCCCTTAACCATCCACCCACGGAAGGACAATTTGGGTTGCTTCTAGTTTGGGGCCATTACACCTAAGAGCTGCTGTGAGCATTCGCGTGAGTTTTCATCATTCTGGGTAAGTGCCCAGAAGTGCACCTCCAGCACCAAATAAAGTAGGAGCTGACCAACGAGGAGGGTCCTTCAGGACGTGTGCCGCCCCCTTCCCAGGAAGAAGGGGGCTGGTGGGGCCCACGTGCTTCGCTCCCGCACCCAGCGTGTCTCATCTCTCAACGAAACACCAGAGCTGGGCTCCGGGCACTAAGGGCTGAGAAGATGGCACATCCCTTGGAGTGTAGAAGGTCCTGTTAGCGTTTTATGCCAAAGTACCGGGACCTGTCCCTTCCTGCGGCCGCCAAGAAGCAGCGAGAAGCCCAGGGACCAAACACTCTGCTCTGAGCCCACCAAGGGCTGGGGAAGGGAAGGCATCGGGCCATCTATCTGCGGAGGCTCCTCTCTGGAGACCAGAGCCCCTTCCCTCCCCCTCACGGTAAGCCAGGCCCCATCTCTTCCAGGGAGACCAAGGACGAGATGGAGCTGCTGGGCCTCCAGGGCCCCCTGGACCCCCTGGGGCCCGGGGCCCTCCTGGAGACACAGGGAAAGATGGCCCCAGGGGAGCAGAAGGCCCGGCGGTAAGAGAAGGGCACAGAGGTGGAATACCCCTGTCCCCAGTCCAGACCCAGACCCATGCCGCACCCCAACCCCAGCCCCAACCCAGACACCTGCCACACGCCAGCCTTATACCTCATGCCGTTTAAGACCTTGACCTCGGGCGCCTGGGCGGCTCAGTCGGTTGGGCGACTGCCTTCGGCTCGGGTCATGGTCCTGGAGTCCCTGGATTGAGTCCCGTGTTGGGCTCCCTGCTCGGCGGGGAGTCTGCTTCTCCCTCTGACCCTCCCCCCTCTCATGCTCTCTCTCTCAAATAAATAAATAAAATCTTTAAAAATATATAAATAAATAAATAAATAAATAAGACCTTGACCCCAAACTCATTCCCAAATCCTGGTCCACACCCTCATTTCTGGCTATTATCCAGACTCTACCTCTGACCCCTGCACTCTGACCTGACTCCAAACCCAACTCTTACCCTCCACCCTAACCCCAAATATAACCAGAGACCCTAAACCTGACCTTGGTTGCAATTTCAGTCACAGTCCTAACCCTGAAACCCATATGGGGGTGCTTCCCCCCCAGATTTTACGCCCCCGCCAGCTCTGGCTCTCTCTCCCCCTCCTTCCCTCCCTCCCTCCAGTACTAACTAGTTAGGCTCAGTTGTCCTCCTATAGTTCTATCCAGAGCCTAGAGACCAGACTCCGTGGTACTACCCCTTTCCCTACCGCAGGGACTCAGGCCTGTCCTTCCCGTCCCATGCAGAGCCAGCTCTGCCACCAGACTGCCACCAAACTGCCACCAGGGTCCCCTCTCAGGGCAGCCAGCTACTCAGACGGGTCATCCATTCCTATTCACATTGGGCACCTAACTCCTTGAGCCTCAACATTCTCATCTGCAACGTGGGAACAAGAACTCATGAAACGAGAGACTGCTTGCAGCCCCAGCCCAGGGCCTGGCGCGGGGAGTGGGCTCTGTTAACCGGGGAGCCCTGCGTCCCCTCAAGAGGATCTCCTCTTCTGCCTCCTCAGGGTCCCAAAGGAGAGACTGGACGGGACGGCGAGATGGTCAGTATCCAGGGCATTTGGGGAGGCTGGCCCTCGACACGGGGCATCGGGCCTGGCCTCTGGCACCTGGTGTCACCCTTTGTACAATGAAGAGGAGGAGGCGGCCCAGAAGCAGCCTCCAGTACCCCATTTAATACTTTCTCTTCTCTTGGTCCAGGGCCTGAAGGGACCCCCAGGGCCCAAGGTGAGTGCTCCTCACTCCCTGCCACTGCCCCAGGCCTGGGAGGGATGGGCTCCCCTCACCTCCCCCACCCCACAGGTCAGCTCTTCCTTTTCTTCTCTGCCTGCTGGGGTCGGGGGGTGGAGCTGGGGTCTGCCCCAAAGGAGAAGGGCTTTCCTTGCTTTCTCCCTCATCTCAGAAACACCCCCTGGAGGCTGGGACATCACATCCCCATTTGCAAGAGCAGTGACTTGCCCAGGGTCATTCAGCGTGGGGGGGACACGGTCAGGAGTGGAGTCCAGGACTGTCAGCCCCACCCACCATCCATGTGCACCTCTCTGGGGGGCCGGGGTCTCTGGGCTGTACCCGGTTATCGAGGCCACTTCTACCACAGCGGGTGGCCTGGTGTCTGGGCCAGGCTCTGATCTCTCTCTTGTACCCCCCTGCCTTCCTCCTCAGGGTGAGCCTGGCATTCCTGGAAAGAAGGTGAGGGGGGGCCCCCAGGAGGGGCTTCTTGGTGGGGGTGTGGGAAGTGGCTGGGGAGATGGGCAGGAGCTCCCCATGGGGCAGGGCCAGGGGCCAGCCACAGGGAAGTCCTCACCAGACCCAAGCCCTCACTGTGGATGACTGCTCCGTCCGTCTCTGAAGCCCGATTTCATTCATTCACTACTTATTCGCGCATTCTTTCCTTTCCACAAACACAGCAAATTTATTCCCACTTCAGGGCTCTGGACAGTGGTTCTCAGAGTATGTTCCTGGGACCAGCTAGTATCAGCATCGCTGGGCACGTTTGGGGGCCGACCTCAGAGCCACCTAGTCAGAGACACTAGGGGTGGGCCACTGGGATGTTGTAATTTATAATAAATCCATATTTGGTCTCAGTCCTCTGGTTTCTGGAGCAGAGCTCCTAAAACCCTTGGAATGTCCTGAGTGATGAACCTGATTTGAAGGTGTCTATTGTTATGTTAATGAGGCGACTTTGGGGACACCCTCCCCCAGGATGGGGGCTCGTTGCCTGGAGAAACAACCACATGATTGGGGGGTTGGAACTTTCAGTCCTGGTCACCAGCCTTCCAGGGAGGGGCTGGAGGTTGAACCAATCTCACCAGTGGCCAGTGATTTCATCACTCATACCTATGGAATGAAGCCTCCATAAAAACCCAAAAGGATGGGGTTGTGAGAGCGTCTGGGTGGGTGAACACAGGGAGATTTGGGGAGAGCAGCACGCCTGGAGAGGTCACGGACTCTCCTACCCCCTTCCCCATACCTTGCCCACTGCATCTCTTCCATCTGGCTGTTCTTGAGTTCTGTCCTTTATAATAAACTGGGAATCTAATAAGGAGAGTGTTTCCCTAAGTTCTGTGAGCCGCTCTAGCAAGTTAATGGAACCCAAGGACGAGGTGGTGGGAATCTTCAGTCTATGGTGGGTCGATCTGTAACACAAGTGAGAGCCGGCTTACTCCTGGTGCCTGGAGTGGGCTGGGGGGCTGGGGCAGTCTTGTAGGACTGGGCCCTTAACCCGTGGGATCCGACGTTCTCTCCAGGTAGACAGGAATCAGAATTGGGTTGAATTGTAGGATGCCTGGCTGGTGGTGGGGAATTGCTTGGGGGTATGGACACACCCCGCGCCCATCAGAATTGGTGACCAGACTTTTATTTTTTTGTTGTTTATTTTTTAAAAGATTTTTTTTTATCTATTTGAGACACACACAGAGAGAGAGAGCACGAGCAGTGGGGAGGGGCAGAGGAAGAGGGAGAAGCAGGCTCCCAGCTGAGCAGGGAGCCCGATGCGGGACTTGATCTCAGGACCCCGGGATCATGACTTGAGCCCAAGGCAGACGCTTAACCAACTGAGCCACCCAGGCGTCCCCCTGGTGACCAGGACTTGTAGCCATGGTCTGTTCAGCAGCCCTCCTGGGGTGATGGTGGCATGCACTCAAATTTGGGAACCACTGACCTGGGGTGATCTTCCCCCACCCCATCCCTTGCCAGGTCTCCAAAAAGCTGTCCCCTCTCCCAGGTGACCATCCCTCTGAGTCCCTCCATCCTGCCACCCTCTTACACTCTCTTCCCAGCACTGCTTCTACCTCCTGACCTGGCTCTAGGTGTTTATCTGGACATTCCTTTGCCCTCAGGCTCCTGTCTCCCCCACTGAGCAAGGGACCCCACCTGCCTGGCCCACAGACAGTGCTCACGGTGCTCACAAGCTATGTGTTGACTGAAAGGAACGAATCCCCTCCCCTCCACCTGCCCACCCCTTCCTTCGGTGCACCCCTGCTGACGCGTGCTCTGGGCTGGCCCCAGGGGACCTGCCCCACCCCTGTCCCCACCCAGTGTGACCAGGGCTGGTACCAGCAGAGGGCTGGTGGGGGGGGTGGGGGGGGAGACAGCCAAAGTGGGTCTGCCCAGGACTGAGGGCTGCACCTCAACTGCTCTCTCCTCAGGGGGATGATGGGACACCAAGCCAGCCAGGGCTCCCTGGACCCCCAGGCCCCAAGGTAGGTACCTGTGCCTCCCCCACAGGGCCCCATGCCTCACACCTCCCTCGGTTCCCATCGGTCTGGTGCGGCCCCCGGCTGACCCTGTCACAATGGGGGAGGGGGGCATGTGCTGATGCCCAGGGCAGGCCAGAGAGAGACTGGGGGAGGCCCCGGGCCCCACTTGACACCGGGCGGGGCATCCCATCCAGCCATTTGCCTCCCTGCACACCCTCAGGCCCTTCTAGTTCCCATCTCAGGTGGCCCCCACTCTATCCTGTCCCCCAGCTAGGACCAGGGTATCATCCTTGCTCCCCTAGACCATGGAGACCACCAGCCTGCCTCCAAAATATCTCCAGAGCCCCTGAGAGGCCCTAACTATGCACCAAGACCCAGACCAGAGAAGGTGGCGTGGTCCGGCGTCCCCAGGGCTGGGGGGAGTCCTGAGGCGCATCTCCTCTCAACCCCAGGGGGGCTCAGGCGTGTTCCCCAGGAAGCTCTCAAAGCCAGCAGGCCCAGGCAGCTCCCAGCCTGCCCCTGGCCCTCACTCAGCCGTGAATGTCTCTGTTACAGGGTGAGCCAGGGAACGCGGGGCCTCGAGGAGAAAATGGTGTGGACGGCGCCCCAGGGCCAAAGGTGCCTTACAGTGCGCGGCTCAGACCAGTGCCCCCATCCTGGGGTGAAAGTCCCGGGAGGGCATGGGCCTGGGGGTCTCGTTCCACAGGCAGTCAGAGCTGGCCAGGGGGGGATGGCCACGGGTGTGGGTGAGTGACAAGCCTCCACCAAGCTCAGCCATGTGGCTAAATCATCTTGTAGCCAGGGGAGCCAGGGTCTCCCTCGGTGACCCATCTCTACACACCGTGGGGCCAAGGAGGCGCCCACAGGCCCTCCTTCCAGGAGCCCTATTCCTGGGGTGCCAGCCGCGTACATTGGTCCCTTGGGGCTCCAGCACGTGGGCCCTGCGCTTTTTGGTGACCTGGAGACTGGAGGGGCGTGGGGCGGCCATGCGCACATGGCTGCAACCTCACGTCTCCACAGGGAGAGCCTGGCCCGCGAGGCGCCGATGGAGTCTCAGGACTGCGGGTAAGCGAGTCTCCCCTCTGGCCACACCGAGGGGACCCACGGGCCGGGTTCTTCAGAAGGCCCCATCCCCCAGGGAGGTCCCAGAGGAGCAGCAGAGCCCCGGGAAATGGGAGTCTTTTTTTTAATAATCATTCATTAGCAATTTAAAAAAAAAAATTTTTTTTTTTAATCTCACAATACCTGCTTTTGGTAAAACATTCAAATACACATGTGCGAAAGCGAGGCCTCCCCAGGTGAGTGTTAGCCCTCCCAGAGTCTTGTCTTCTCATATTCAAGCACAGACCTCCAATGCGCCACCAGGGGAGGGGGGAACCCTCCCCCTGCGGGGGGCCTTGCCCCACCTTGAGGTTCGCTCCTGTCTCCAGATGCACAGCCTCCCCGGCTGGTCTCCGATCTTTTGTGACCTTTTGTGACCAGCCGCTATCAACCCACCTTTTTAAGTCAACATCCGGGATCCTGTTCTCTCTGCTGGGTGCCCTCATGCTCCCGGAGGCTGCTTTTCTCCTCCGAAAAAAGGTCACGCAGGTGGCCGGGGCTGGATGAGGTACCGGCTGTGGCATTCTGTGTGACCATGACCGAGGAGGCTGCTGGCAGGTGAGGCCCCGGCCCGGGTCTCTGGCCCCAGGCCTGACCAGAGCGCTGCCCGCCCCTCACGGTGGGCCCCTCACGGTGGGCCCCGCAGCTTGGGGCTCGGAGAAGAAGGGCGGGGCCGGCAGCCGAGCACGTGCGGCGGGGACAGGTGGGCGGGGACAGGTGGGCGGGGACAGGTGGGCAGGGACACGTGCGTTCGCAGACCGAGCGTGCGGGCCCGGGTGGACTTGTGCTCGTTGCGAGGGCGTGGCGTGCACACCCTCAACCAGAGCCTGGAAGTCAGAGGCACAACGCCAAAACTGCACCTGGTCTACACGGTGTCTGGGCGTTTGGGGGAGTGTGTGGATTTTTGCGCTTTTGTTGGCCGACGTTTAAAAATCGTAAGAGAGGGCGCCTGGGTGGCTCAGTTGGTTAAGCGACTGCCTTCGGCTCAGGTCATGATCCTGGAGTCCCAGGATCGAGTCCCACATCGGGCTCCCTGCTCAGCAGGGAGTCTGCTTCTCCCTCTGACCCTCTTCCCTCTCGTGCTTTCAATCTCTCATTCTCTCTCTCTCTCAAATAAATAAAATCTTAAAAAAAAATAAAAAATAAAAATAAAAATCGTAAGAGATTAAAAATCGGAGAACTTCGGGTTAAGACCTCAGTGGACTTCAAGTCCCACGCAAAAGGCAGCCAGACCAGGCACGGGCAGGTTCCTCCGTTGGCTCCAGGCCCCCCTACCCCCTTTCCTCCGGGATGCCTGCTGCCTGCGTTCTCTCAGGGACTGGGGTGCCAGTGGCCACGTAGATACCGGAGGAAGAGCTCACGGGGGTCCCATCGGGTTACAGCTGAGCCAGCACACGGCACACGGACCTTCCTTCGTGGGGGTCAGGTTCCTAGGGTCCCTGGTTGAGATACAGACGCAGCTGCCCAGGCTCTGCCCTGAAATTCGTACTCTTCCTCTCTTCCTCTGCTTCAGGGTCCCCAGGGCCTCAAGGGCGAGCAAGGAGACACAGTGGTGATTGACTACGATGGCCGGATCCTGGATGCCCTTAAGGTAGTTTCCTGGCAGGACCAGGATGCATCCTGGTTCTTTTCCTAAGAAGACAACCACATACTTTGCATATCAATCCTGCATTTCTTTACACAAGGGGGGGGCAGCTTAGCACAAAGACCTCAGCTTCACCAGGTGCCCCCCAATAAGGAAATCAGGGCTATGCTGAGCGCCCCCATGGATGCTAAGAGCTGCCGTGAATATGGCTTTTGTGGCCCCAAGATCCCCAGAGGCCAAAGCAAAAAGGGAAGCTCCCCGTTCACGGGAAGGAGGCAGAGACTTTCTTGATGTCCGGTCTCCGCAGGACCTCCTGGCACCTTCCCGGGGAACACAGACTGGAGGGCTAGGTCTTCTAGTAGCTGTTGGCGATGGGGGGGGGGGGCGGGTGACAGCGGCCAGACCTGCCCCCAAGGAGCCTCAGGAGATGCGCGGCCGCTGAGCCCTGCCTAGTGGCCGACAGACTTGGGACCCATCCCCCGTGGGGAGAGGGGTTGGGTACCAGCCACTCATGGTTCCCAGGGAAGGGAGCTCGGGAGGACGAGGGGCAGGCATCAGAAACCAGACTGGGCCCTCGGCACCGACCCCACCTGAGCTCCATTCCAGCTCTCTCCCACAGGCCTTGGGGAAGTTCAAGCTGATGGTAACTGTGGCCCACCCCAGGCCTGCACGGTGTGGTGTGGTGTGGCGTGATGTGGCGTGGCATGGCCCAAGGGCATGCACAGGCATGGTGTGTCCAGGCCCCGCTTGGAGAAGCAGCCTGAGTGCAGGGAGGTGGGAGGAAGATTCTGGATGCCAGACTGGAATGATGCCTCCAGCCGATGGGCAGTGGGCTGCCACAGTTGGTTCTTGAGCCAGGAAGTGGGGCTCACAATACATATTGTTGGGTGTCTGGGTGGCTCCGTTGGTTAAGCATCTGCCTTCAGCTCAGGTCATGATCTCAGGGTCCTGGGATCGATCCCTGAGTCAGGCTCCCTGCTTCTCCCTTTCCCTCTGCCCCTCCCCTGCTTGTGTGCTCTCTCTCTCTCTCTCACTGTCAGATAAATAAATAAAATCTTTAAAATATATATATACACATACATATTGTGGGCAGACTAGCTGAGGAATGGCATGGAAGGTGAATAAAAGTGGGTGTGGGGGCAACTGGAGGCAAGGAGGCCATGGCGGGGTGGGGTGGGCTCTGGGCCTGGGTGGGGGGATGGAGGATGATAGGAAGACCAGAGATGTCTCCGTGGAGGTGGCAGCAAGGAGGGCACAGGTCGCTGGGAGGAGGGGCTGGGCCGGGTGCAGGCTTGAGGAGGGGGCACGAGTCTGGAGGGCGACGATGAACCACGGTGGGCAGGTGGTCTGTGGGAAGCCTGGGAGCGAGGTCAGACCTAGAGACGCTGCAGGTGCCATCCCTTACCCAGGACTCTCCAGCACTAGCAGACAGCGGGCAGCAGAGCCGATGGGCAGAGAGCTCACGGGAGGGACACAGAGGGCAGTGCTGGGCCACCGTCAGGGATAACATTTTTAGCTAGCCTCGAATGCCAACGGGGGATTTATGTTTGCTGCAAGAGGCCATAGGGAGCCATCGCAGGATCTTGAGCAGGGGCGTGTTGCGAAGAAATCTATATTTGGGGGATACTAGCTCTGAAGGTAGGGGGATTCTGGACTCACTGTGGCAGTGGACACCGTGGTATCCCACCCGGTCCCTGGTGCCACCTCCCTGCCCCCCCCGAGCTGCAAGACAAGAGTTGGGGGATTGGGTGGGAAGCAGGCTATGCGGGCCCTCGACCTGTTGCAGGCCAGCCCAACAGAGCCCTGGCCCCTGGGGGGAAGGGGTGAGCCAGCAATGCGGGGGAAGACCTGCGTAAACACTGACCAGCTTGACTTTCACATACAGGGTCCTCCCGGGCCACAGGGGCCCCCAGGGCCACCTGGGATCCCCGGAGCCAAGGTGAGTTCACGGGCCTGTTGTGTGGCCCCCTCCAAGCCCCTTAACTCCAGCGCCGTGCTCTCTGCCATGCTCACCCCTCTTCTCTCCTGGCATCCCAGCCCGGCTCCTGGGGGCTCAGAGAACGTGGCCCCGCTCCTTCCTAACCAAGCTGGATGCCTTGCTCCCGGCCCTAGCTCCTCCCTGGAAGCCCCAGTCACACGCGTAAGCCCTCGGGACATCCCCAGGTCCCATAGATGACAGACATAGCCATTCTTATGGCCCGTACACATCGTTTACCGCCTGCCCAGGTGGCTCAGGAGACGTGGAAATCACAAGATCTGGTCCCGGCCATCGCCCTGGGCTGTGTGGCCTGCAACGAGTCATTGGATCCCCCCCGAGCCTCAGTTTCCCAAGCTGTAAACTCCCAGACTGTAAATTATAGCCCTGGTCTGCATCTGCCCGGAGGAGCTGAGGAGGGTGCTGGGCACCCAGTGGGCACCTTCCTAGACCCCACCCACTTTAGGGATCCAAACCAGGGACGTCGTGCTGATCGGGGAGGGGAGGCAGCCCAGCCACAAGGCCCTCTTGGGAACCATGGGACACCGTAACCACTCTTGCTTTCTGTTCCCTTCTAGGGTGAGCTGGGATTGCCTGGTGCTCCGGGAATCGACGGAGAGAAGGTCTCTGGGCCTTTCGTTTGCTTAGTGATCCTGGTCCCTAGTAGTGGGCTGTGAGTGTGCATGTGTGTGCGTGCATACGTGTGTGTGTGCATGTGTGTGCGCATATGTGTGCAGAGTTAGAGGCCACAGGACAGAGTGCACTGCCTGGGCACCTGTCCTGGTTCTGCCCTTAGGCCTCGGGCAAGCTGCTCACTTTCTGGCAGCCTCAGATCCTCACCTGGAGGGGAGGATGGTCACCGTTGTAAGACTTACATAATTGTGTGTGGAAAACACTTAGAGCAGTGCGCGGGGCACGATCTAGGGAAGAGTTTTCAAATGCTAGCTAATGTCGTTCCCGTTACTCTGGGTCCTATGAGTATTGCTGTAAGTACACACCTGTGTGTCCCCCCACACACAACACAGTGTCGGGGACATCACTGGACATTCATGGCAGTGGCTTTAGGGCCGCATCTTGGACGTTCGCTGATTGGCTGAGAGAGGGAATGAGTGGCCGGAAGGGGCACTGGGTGGATGGTTGGTTGTACATGGGGGTTGGGGGCTCCCACTGCTGGCTCCTGAGATGCGAGCACAGGGTTGACCCCCCCAAGCTCTGTAAGGGCCCCCGCAGGGGCTGCCCGGTCCCACTCCCTCCACCCCTCCCACCTGCTGGCCCGCCCTGCACCCCTGTCTTCAACCAGGCCCCTCGGTGCATTCACTGCCTGGGCCAGAGGCAGGGACCCAGGATGAAGACATGGGGGTGGGGGTCTGGCCTGGCCAGGACTAAGCTCTGGGGACCCTCTGGGGTGGGGGAAGAGAAAACTGCTGAGTTCCACCGACCCCTTGTTCTTGTGGCTCGCAGGGTCCCAAAGGAGCCAAAGGAGACCCGGGAGAGGCTGGGCCGACCGGACCCAAAGGGGAGGTGGGCGAGATGGGCCTGTCGGGCCTCCCGGTAGGTGGCTGCACGGGCCCCGCCCTACTCTGCCCGCCTGTGGAGTTCCAGGACCAATGTGCCCACGACAGCAGCCTCGGGGGAGGGGGGCACCGCTGGGGCGCTGCCAACTCCATCCGGCCCAGGGGCACCAAGCCTTGGAAAGAAAGCTCAGACTCAGCTGCTTGGACTTCCGAGCCTCCGTATAGGGACCTACCGCCTACCTCCCAACGCCTCCGCAAATGTGGAACAAAGGCGTGGTTAGAGCCCACCCTGACTGCTCAAGTTTGCATCCTGCTCTGTCCCCTGCTGGCTCTGGAAGCCTGCACGAGTCTCCTGACCTCCCTGGGCCTTGGTTTCCCCACCTCTAAAATGGGGATGATAACCTCCTCCCACTCACGAGGGCCTGCCCGACAGGGCTGAGAGTGGTGGCTGGCCACGTGATAAAATACCCACTGTGACGGTCATTGTGGCTGGACAGAAAGAGCTGTGGGTTCAAGCGGCCAGCAGGTGCCCCCCTTCGCATCTGACGTACATCCACAGGGCTCCCTCAGCTAGAGAGCTGGGTGCCCCCCTGCCCCCCAGGAGACAATTTATACCGCTGTCAATGTGCTCTCCAAACACCCACTTTCTGGGCACCCAGAGCGTGTCACCAATTTAGGGAAAACTGCTTCAAGCTGCAAATTGCCAACTCATCGCTGCTGCTGGCGGCCTCATGGGGAAGGCAGGGGAGGTGCTGACCACCGTGGGTGGTAGGTCTGGTGATGGGCAGAAAGGGCTGAAGGCCAGGCTGTTCTGCAGGGCACCGATGGTCCCAAGGGCGAGAAGGGAGAGTCGGCATCTGACAGCCTACGGGAGAGCCTGGTAAGGGGGACTGCTGAGGACCAGGGTCTCCCCTCAATGCCCGGCCCAGGGGCCCTGAACCTTGGGACAGAAAGGCCACCTGGCCTGACCAAACCCAAGGCAGTGAGGGAGGGGGAAGGGGGCACCTCAGTCTGTGTCCTCCAACTGAGGCCCGTCTGAGAACCCCAAAGCCCAGCCCCTGGGCCCCCCACCAGGCAGTGCCCTTCTGGAGAGACTCAGCCCAGTGGCTCAGGGCCCAGCACCAACCCCCCAGGAGTGCTCATCTGGTGTCCAGTGCGTTCAAGCATGAGCAAATGAGGTATGTTGGGGCGGGGGTAACTAACCCATCTCTGACTGCTTCCTAGGCCCAGATCATAGTGGCGCCAGGCCCCCCCGGCCCCCCTGGGCCCCCAGGCCCCATGGTAAGAACATTTGGCGTGAAGTAGCTGAGATGTGCAGGGGGTGGTGAGCCCAGGCCTGGAGCTGTGACCCAGGGGAGGACAGGATTTCCGGTGGGGAGGGGGTACATCAAGCAATATGGGAGAGCCTGGGTCTGGGCTTGGGAGTCTGCAGCGGTCAGGGCCACGGGGCCAGTGAGTGGCCTATAAGCCTTTGTGACCACTCTCCTCCTCCTCCAGGGCCTTCAGGGAATCCAGGGTCCCAAGGTAAGTTCTGGAAACCCCTCTACTCACTGCAGACGCCCAGCCTGGATAGTTCCAGAAAGCCTTGCTAATGAGCAGTGAGAGCCCCACACTTGGCCCCAAACCAGCTCTGTATTATCCCAGGACCTGAACATTCTAAATCCCCTGGAGCACAACCTCCCTGATGTCCTTGGAGCTGGTGCCCCCTAGCCCCACACTGGGACTCTGTTCTTTCATCCTGTCCCTCTGTCTGAGCCTTCATCTTCAGCCTCCGCCTCCTGTGCCACGTCCCCCTTCCTTACACGTTTCCCCCCTGCCCCCCGTGCACACAGCTGTCTCTCAACTGCCCACAGGCTGGACGTGAAGTCTTGGGTTTGGTGTGTATTACATGTCATGTTCTCTGCTCTTAAATTAAAACTGTGAGTGTGGCCTGCCCATGTGCCCCGTGTGGGGGAGGCCAGCTGGCCTCACAGCTTGCCAGGTCTGGTTTCTCTTCCACTCACTCCGGGGGAGAGCACATCTCTGATTCCCCAGCGCAGAGGCCAGCGGGACTCAGACATGAATCCCACAGCCGAGCAGAGCCGAGCACGTGGCCCCACCAGATGTGCTGCTTCTGGTTCTGTTTGGCCCCACGGCCCTCCCCAGATCGTGTTTAGAAGAGGCAGCTGCTGTCAGGGACGAGGTCCAAGGCTGGGGCTCAGAAACCCAACGGGTCCTCAGCCCTGCTGCTTCTTGGCTGGGTGGCTGGACCTGTCCCTGCCCCTCGCTCTGCCTGTCTTTACTTATCTGTGAAATGGGTGTGAGGGAGCCCATGTGTGGGCTTTGGTTACTGTTTGTACTGGAAGGAAGCTGGGGTCAAGCCCGTGAGAGCCTGGTGTCCGTTCCTCTGCCCTGCACCCCCCAGCTCACACTCAGGCCCCAAGCTTTCTTGTCCTGCTGTCTGTCTGAGCCCTTCCCCCTGATCGATGTCTCCTCTTTGCTTCTAGGGCTTGGACGGAGCAAAGGGAGAGAAGGGTGTGTTGGGTGAGAGAGGCCCCAGCGGCCTGCCTGTGAGTGTCATGAGCCTCGTTTATCCCTCTGGGGCACTAATTCCTGTAACTAATTCCTGTAATTGACCCATTCCTTTTCCATCCAGGGGCCAGCTGGCCCTCCAGGCCTTATCGGGCTGCCAGGAACCAAAGGAGAGAAGGTAATGACCTTCCTTTAATGCCTGCCAAGTATGGCTGCACGTTTACAGTGTCACTCGGCCTTGGGGACTCAACCCCCTGCACTACACCATCCCAGGGCCAGAAATCAGGCTTGTGGACAACTCACGAGGCTGAACATCCCAGCAGTAGTGCTCCCAACACCCCCTCCCTGGCCCCTTACATGTCCTCTTTGTCTCTCCTCAGGGAAGACCTGGGGAGCCAGGACTAGATGTAAGTATTTCATCGTTCACAGTGATCAGGTTCCTCCAGTGTGTAGCTTCTGCCCTTGCACTGGCCATACAGTAATCTGATCTGCTGGGCTTGGATGTGACCCCCTTCCCCAGGGCTGGGACTCCCAACTGACTGGTTCCCTCTGGGTCCCCAGTGCCAAGTCTAGTTCACAGCCCAGAGTAGGTACTTGATGGGTGGATGGATGGATGGATGGATGGGTGATAGGTGGATGGATGATGGATGGCTGAATGATGGATGGATAATGGGTGGGTGAAAGATGGGTGGATGGAAGATGGGTGGATGGATAATGGATGGATGGATGGATGATGGGTGGATGGGTGGATGGATGGATGGATGGTGGATGCATGATGGATGGATGGAAGATGGGTGGATGGATGATGGGTAGATGGATGGATGGTGGATGGATGATGGGTAGATGGATGATGGATGGATGGATGATGGATGGAAGATGGGTGGGTAGATGATGGATGGATGAATGGATGGATGGATGATGGGTGGATGGGTGAGGGTGAATGGGTGATGGGTGGATGATGGGTAGATGGATGATGGGTGGATGGGTAATGGATGGAAGTTGGGTGGATGGATGATGGTTGGATGGATGGTGGATGGATGGATGATGGGTGGATGGATGGTGGATGGATGGATGATGGGTGGATGGGTAATGGATGGAAGTTGGGTGGATGGATGGATGAATGGATGGGTGGATGGATGATGGATGGAAGATGGGTGGATGGATGATGGTTGGATGGATGGATGATGGTTGGATGGATGGATGGAAGATGGGTGGGGGCGCCTGGGTGGCTCAGTCGTTGGGCGTCTGCCTTCGGCTCAGGTCGTGATCCCAGGGTCCTGGAATCGAGCCCCACATTGGGCTCCCTGCTCCGTGGGAAGCCCGCTTCTCCCTCTCCCACTCCCCCTGTTTGTGTTCCCGCTCTCGCTGTCTCTCTCTGTGTCAAATAAATAAATAAAATCTTTAAAAAAATAAAAGGAAGATGGGTGGATGGATGGTGGATGGATGGATGGAAGATGGGTGGATGGATGATGGGTGGATGGGTGATGGATGGAAAATGGGTGATGGATGATGGGTGGATGGAAGATGGGTAGATGGATGATGGATAACTGGATGGAAGGATGATGCATTGGAACAGGAAGGTGAGGAGAGCAGTGTTGCAATATCCTGGTGAGAGATGATGAAGCTTCAGCTAGGGCATTACTGTGGGAAGGAGAGGAGAGGAAATATTAGCCCAAAGTTGATTGGATCAAGTGTCTTTGGGTTGCCAGCAACAGAAAACAGTTCAAACTGGCTTAAACTGACTCCTAACTGAAAAGCCCAGAGGGATTTTTTCACAACCAAAAATGCACAATCCACACAACCCAGCCTTTCAAGCTTATTATCTGTGCTTCTGCTGTGGGGGTATCATTTCAAGTTAGGTGTGGTGATGGAATGGAGGCAGTAGCCTCAGACCCACATCCTCCCAGACCCAAACCCTGGAGAAAGACTATGTGCTTCACTCTCCTTTTAGAAAAGACTCATCAATTCTCACTGGCCCCAGTTGGGTCAATGCTGAAACATCAACTTGGCCGTAAGAAAGGCAGTGCCCTGGTTGGCCTGGCCTGATCACGTGCTCCCTGACCAGAATCAGGGCTGCAGGGACTCTGGTGTCCACCCTGGACTTGGAGGAGAGAATGTCCCCTTGGAGAGCAACTGCAGACACACAGAGTTTCTGACTGGGAGGATGGTGGTCCATCCCTGAGACGGTCCAGAGAAGAAGCCAGTGCTGAATCCTGTTCACCCTCTGGACCCAGGGAGGTCCAGAGTGTGGCCTCGGCAGCCTTCATGGCTCAGAGCAGCATCTCAAAGCCATGCCCACCTGGGGGCAAGCTGGCAAGCTTCCAGCCCCGCACCCACTCCACCAGGCCCAGCTGCCATGGGGATTCTGCTCAGCCTTCCTGATCACAGACCCGGCTAGAACAGCCCCTCTCCCCGGAACCCCGTGGCGTCTGGTTCATCCCGTGTCACTGAGCATCGACCATCAGCTTCTCTGCCCTCTTGCCTGTCATGTTAGACCGTGAGGGAAGTGTCCTATTTATTCCTGCGGGGTTTTAATTTACGGAGGTGACCAAGTGATGACCCTGAAAGGTCAATGCCATTGAAGGAAGAGTGGGTTACTTAGGGCTCCCGAGGGAAGGGCTCACCTTGCTATGCAGGGCCCCGTGGGGAAGCACCAGGTTTGGTGGGGGGAAAGAAAGGGGTGGGGGGCAGAGCTTTTATGGGGGTTTCCTCGGGGAAGGCAGGCGGGGCACAGGAAACAGTTGAAGACGGGCAAGTATGAACGATGCAGGCGGGTTCCAGGCTGGAGGGGTGGCCCCTGGCATCTTGGTACCCTGCCTGGGGATGATTTTGGGCAGGGGAAGTATCAGCTTGCGCGTGAGAGGCAGATAAAGGGGGTGACGGGGGGGATTGTTGGTTTACATATGAAACGTGCTCCCAGGCCGGCCCTTTGCTACCCCTAAGAGCAGGCGTGAGGGCGGGGCAGCCTGTCCCTGGCCAGCAAGTTCAAGATGTCAAAACATCCTCAGACACAGAAAATAAAAAGGGGGAGAGGAGAGACCCATCAAATCCATTTCTCTGTCTTCGGTATCCAGCCCACAATGCAGTTCCTAGTGGATGCTTAGAAATGTTGGTTGCATGAGTGGATGAACAAACGGACGAATGGACAGATGGATGGATGGGTGGGTGGGGGCATAAGAGATTAAGCCAGAAGCAGAGAACGGAGGTCATGATTTCTTAGTCTGGCAAAGATAGTAACACAAACATCCCCGAGTTTCCTGGGTCTCTGTCCCTAGCCACGCTTGGGTCAGCACCAGCTGCATGGCACCGGGACCCGAGAGAAAGCCCCTGGCCGGCCGCTCTGCCTGAGGGCGTCTGTCCAGAGACACCGGCGCTGTTCTCCCCTGGAGGAAGCTGCGCTGGTGTCCTGAATGCATGCTTGTCTCTAAACCAGCCTTGCACCCAGCCCACGTGTCACCTAGGAGCTGGAGCGGGCCCAGTTTGTGCCGCCAGTAGGCGTGGGGGTGGGGCGGTGACAGATGGGAGGGGCACGGAGATGAATGGAGAGCAAGAGCAAACCTCAAACCTCATTTTATTCCTTTGGCCAGGGGTTCCCTGGACCCCGAGGAGAGAAAGGTGACCGGAGCGAACGTGGAGAGAAGGTGGGGAGCAGGTGGAGAGAAGGGGGGGAGCAGGAAAGGAGCCAGGGCAGGGGGAGGTTGGAGGCGGGCGCAGCACGACAGGGGTGGCTGCCAGCTGGAGGCCCATCCCTCTGAGAAGTGGAAAAGGGGTCCTGGGCCTGGCAGCCATGGCCATCCCCCCATCTCTCTCCTTGTGCAGGGGGAGCGAGGCGTCCCGGGCCGGAAAGGCGTGAAGGGCCAGAAGGGTGAGCCGGGACCGCCGGGCCTGGATCAGCCATGTCCTGTGGTACGTGTCGGAGCAGAGTGGGAGCCCCACCCCAGGTCTTCGCCGCCTCGGGCCTGTGTCTTCTCTGTCCTCAGAGCTCACTTGCAAGTCCCGAGAGACTACCATGGCTGTCCCTGCCATCATGGAGGCTCCCCTCGCTCCGCTCCTGACTCCCCTCCAGGGGCATGGCTCAGGGGGACCCACCCCCTCCCCGGGGCAGAGCCCTTGCCAGCGTCACCGCCCCTCTTTTCTCAGCTTCCTTGGCCCTAAAGGGGGTTAGGAGGCTTTGGCTGGTGTGGGTGGCCCCACCTGGCCCCTGCACCTCCTCTGCATGCCCCCAGAATCCTTCCCTGCTCCCCACACCTTCCTCCTTTCCTTTTCTCGCACATCAGCTCCTGGCAGCCCACCAGACCGCAGGCCTGAAGGAACCACACTTCACTTCCCTTCCCCGCAGGGCTGGGAGGGTTCACACATCAGGCTCTGAAGTGGAGCTCAGCAAAGCAGGGCGTTTCCAGACTAAGACCAAGCAGATAGCCATACCCGGCCATCCCCAGCCCGAATGCATGCCGGCCGCCTTCCAAAGGGGGATCGGGGTGAGGGATCCCAGAGGCCCGGTCCTCTGTTCTTCAGTCTTCTCATCCATGCCGTAAGGGTGCTCATCCCTACCCCCAGATGGCTTGAGGGGTGAATGAGAAAAAGACAAGAAGAGCAGAGTGGTAGGCATACACACAAAGTGCAGGGACACCAGGGGGACACGGGGGTGCCCAGCCTCGCAGCTCCAGGCCCTGGGCAGAGACTTCCGTCCAAGTCATTCAGCCTTTGTCTTTGAAACAGGAGAATCCCAAATGTGGAGGCAAGCGAGGGGCGCCGGGCTCCGGGGGGCCCTGCCCTGCGGTATGAGATGTGGCCTGCTGTGTGCTGTGTGCTGGGCTGGGCGGGGCGGGGCTGGGCAGGGCAGGGCATTCCGGGCACCTGTGCCCACCACTCTGACCCCCCCTCTCCTCTATCCTGCCTTCCCTTCCTTCCGGCCTCTCCTCCCCCCTTCCCTTTGGTGGGGCCGTGGCCGTTCTAGGGGCTGTGCTCCCGTGGGTGCCTCCAGAGTGAAGTGTTTTCCGTGCCGGGGTTCCCCAGAGACTCTAGGCTGACTGACGGGTCATCCATGGCCCCTTTGCAGCTCCCCCGCCCTCCGGGCTGCCTGGGGCGCCCACCCCACCCCACCTTGTGTCTGAGTGCTGAGCCAGCATTGGCTTTGCTGGTGCCCCAGCCCCCACCCCGCTCTCTACCCTGAGAGCCTCAAGCCGCCCCATCTGCCCCTCAGACCCAGACACAGGGACCAGGACGATCCTGCTTCCTGGACTATCCTTCAAACGCTCTTGAAGAAACTCCCGAGAGCTGTCAGGCCCCCGCGTGAGGGGCCAGAGCCAGCATCAGGAGCTTCAATCTCCTGGCCAGCAGATTCCAGCACAATTCCCAATCCTCCACGGTGCCCCGGTTCTGTCCCCTGCTCGGGTGTCCCAACAAACAAAGCCCCGTAGGGACGCACTCCGAGCGAGCGCAGTGGGAGGCCCGCCTGTCTTGTGACCTGACTACCCAGGTGGACAAGCATTCGGGCCCTGCCTCGGTGGGGTCCATGGGCCTCACGTGGCAGCTCCCGGGGCTACGCCTCCCGACACCCAGGGCAAGAATGTATGGAGTGCAGGGAGCTGATCAGTCCCCCAGCCCCATCACTGAAACCTTTTTCTTTTCCAGGGCCCCGATGGGCTGCCCGTGCCTGGCTGTTGGCATAAGGTACCTTGCAGGGAAGAGTCTCTAGGGCAGGCTGGGAGGAGGGGGACATCGAGGGGGCCTCCAGGGGCTGGTATCTGCAGCTCCCCAACAGCACCTGAATAGCTAGGTTGCCCCATGATGACATGACCCTAGTTTTGACTCTCCCATCAGGTGGCTCAGGCTTGGGGCCGTGGTCCTGGGTGATTGGGCACAGCCCACCCTGGTGGTCATTCAGGGCTCACTCAGTGCCTGGCCCAGCCAGGACAAAGCCTGGGATTTTGTCCAAACTGCCCCACTGAGTGGAGGCAGAAGCCCTGAGCCGGGGATGAGAAGACTGGGGACACGCGTGTTCTAGAAGAAATGGGCAGGACAGGATGCCCAGACCAGGGCGGGGCCTCTGGGGCCTCCTTGCTCACCTTCGGTCTCTCCCTTCTCTTCCAGTGACCCCCGCACCCAGCTCACAACCTGTACAGATGCGTGTGGACGTTTTTAATTTTTGTAAAAAAACAAAAACAAAAACAAAAAACAGTAATATATTGATCTTTTTTCACGGGATACACCCTCTGTGTCCTTATAACATTCAAGAGGGTGCGTGGTGGCCCAGCCCCAGAATGATCAGCATTGGAAGCTGGCGGGAAAGCGGACAATCCAGTCCAGGGGAATTGTGTCCTCGTGCAGGGACAGCCGTGGGACTTGGCTCTCCCAGGAAGGAGATGAAGGTGAAAGCGCCTGGCTCAGGAGAGGCTGCAGAGATGCTGGGTTGGGCCTTCAGCCACCTGATTAGCAGAGAGACTTAGCCTCCCACCCCACCCCCGAAGCTCCAGAGCCCTGGGGCAGGCTCCATCCAGAAAGACCCAGAGCTTGGACAGTAAATGCAGCTGTCCCAGCCTCTCTGGCCTCTGGACTCAGCCACAGTCAGCTGCCCACCCCTCTGGGTCCCGGGTTCCCCTGGGCAGGACAAGATTCCTGCCCAGCCCCCAGGGGCTCTAGCTCCCACCGAGTTCAGGAGGCCTCCATGAGAACACGTGTCCTCTGGCCCGGAGGAGAGGCCAAGCACTCTGACCACCGCCTGAGGACCCAGCTGCAAAGAAGCCTCATGCTCCCGGAGTGCAGAGGATGGCAGGTCCCAGACGGGAGTGGCTGATGCTTCCCGGGTATCTTGCAGCGCCCAGAAGAGGGTCATGATGGGACTTTGCCAGCCCAAGGAGACTGGCCAGCAGCTCAGAGTTTGGGTCTCACTGGCCCCAACTCTCCCACGGGAGAGGACTCTGGCCAGCCTGCCAAAACTGGTCCTTTGGATGAGCTGTGCAGACGAAGAGGGCCTCGGGGCTGGTTCCGGGCCAGCCTGAGCAGGAGGGTCCGAGACCCAGCCACCAGTGCTCTGGAAAGAGGCTTCCCCATCTCTGACAAGAGTCCCCAGCTGCCACCTCCAGCCCAGCGGCTTGCCTCCCTTCTCTGTATAGATGGATATCACTGTGTGTAATAAACTCCAATGTGTGTCTGCGTGTGCCTGTCCTTGCACACTGCCCTGAGCACCTCTGGGTGGGGAGGGACAAGGGGGACACTCCCTGGGTCAGAGCCACCCCCGAAACCAGAGGAACAAACCAGAGGATTGTTCAGGGTCAGGGCAAAGAGAGGGTTTGGAGTTAGAGAGACAGACCCGGGGCGCCTGGGTGGCTCAGTTGGTGAAGTGACTGCCTTTGGCTCAGGTCATGATCCCAGGATCCTGGGATTGAGCCCCGCGTCGGGCTCCCTGCTCAGCGGGGAGTCTGCTTCTCCCTCTCCCACTCCCCCTGCTTGTGTTCCCTCTCTCACTGTCTCTCTCTCTCTCTATTAAATAAATAAATAAAATCTTAAAAAAAAAAAAAAAGAAAGACCCAAGGCCTGACCCTGCCATCTACCGTCTGAGGCCTGTGTCCACTCACTCATATCACGGAGTCCCTGTATGCCCCCCGATCCGACGACCAGTGAATGCTACATATCACCCCAGAGCCTACCTTGAAACAACAATATTTCTCTCTTACCATTCTGGGGGTAATGGGCTCAGCTGGGTGGTTGTGGGGCTCACTGGGGAAGTCAGGATTGTGGACAGGGACAGAAGCACAGTGGGGCTCGGGTGCCTGATGGAGATCACTGGATCAAGCATCAAGCATCCTTTGGAGCCCCAGCAGAACCTCACAAATCGAATGTACTCAACAGTTTGTAATCTGCTCTTCCCTCCACCCAGGTGCCTCACTGGATTCTATAACCAGTCCTGTGAAGGACAGGGCCTATGTGATCCGTGTCCCTGTTTCCACTTTACATATGAGGGAACTGAGGTTCTTCAGCAGTTCATCACCTGCCCAGGGATGTACAGCCAAGACAGGGTGACAGGCAGACTGGGCCCAGGTTCTTGGATAGCCTCCAGTTGGTCCTTCCAAATTGTTTGGCAGGGCATGGAGTTGGCTAGGCAGTGTCAAGATGCTGGGTGATCGGCCCGCTGATCCTCCTGGGGGTGGCAACCACATGCACCCTCTTCCCCAGACCTCCGAGCTCTCCTGGCGAGACAAGGCCATTCATGGCCCACTGTTGCCCCCTTGTGGCCTCGGACCGCGTATCATCAGGTCTGCAAATTTCAACAAGCTTCAAAGTACAGAGCGGGTGGAGTCCTCCAAAAGCTTGGGTTGGTGGGGCAAAAGACTGGAGAAGAATGATGTGCTCAAGATCCCAGCTGAGACTCGGGATTTGTTCCCGGCCTCACAGCTGCGCCTCAAGGACTGAGAGCCTCGTGTCTCTCTGCCTCAGATTTCCCCCTTCCAAAGCCAAGGAAGCACATTTACTGAGCCCCGCTGTGGGCCATGGCGGCTAGACTAACCACAAGGATTACTATCCCCTTTTCCAGATGAACTGAGGTGGAAGAGGAGGCCTACGCAGGCCTCCTGATCCCCAGGATACTGCTAGAAACACACGGGGTACTAGTGGTTGTCACAGTGAGTGGGGGACCCTGCTGACACTCAAATCGGATTCAGCCCCTTCCTCCCACCCCCTGCCTTCTAGGCCTCCAGTGGTACCTCAAAGCCAGCGCATGAGGTAACGGAGGAGTGCTGAGCGTGGAGGCAAGGAGTGGGCTTTTCTGAGCAGGAAGAAGGCGAAGCTTCCTGCTGTGGTCCTGACCGTGTTGGAGACACGCTTGGCCCAGAAAATGGCCCAGCCTGCTCTGACTTCCAGCCTCCTGGTACTGCCTCCTGGACCCGGACGCCCCAGGAGTAGATGAGCTATGATCTGGGCCTGACTGCAATGCTCTCACCCTTCCCCCAAGGCAGGGACAGTCCCTGAGCCAACCTGACTTCTCTGTGCTGCCCTGGGCCACAACAGGCTTGTGTGTGGGCAAGAGACCGGGCCAAAGATGGGGCCCAAACGGGACTCTCAGACTTCCCCTCCCCCACTTTTTTTTTTTTTTAAGATTTTATTTTTCAACAGAGAGAGAGAGAGAGACAGCGAGAGAGGGAACACAAGCAGGGGGAGTGGGAGAGGGAGAAGCAGGATTCCCGCTGAGCAGGGAGCCCGATGCGGGGCTTGATCCCAGGACCCTGGGATCATGACCTGAGCTGAAGGCAGAGGCCTAACCGACTGAGCCACCCAGGCGCCCCTCCCCCACTCCTTTCTAACTCAGTTTGGGAAGACAAAGAAGTTCTGGAGCTGGATGGTGGTGATGGTTGCCCAACGTGAGTGTACTTAAAATGCCACTGAACTGTACACTTTACCACAACTTAAAAAAAAAAGAAACTCCAAATGTTTTTTAATAAATACCTTAAGCATTTTACAGCTTGGGGGTAAGAGATGAAGAAATCAGCAATGAGAGAGCAAAGCAGAGGGTGAGACTCTTGAAAGGTGACAGGAGGGACAGCAGGAACCTCCCCTTCCCCAGCTTGCTCAGGCCGCAACCTAGAGCCCTTGTTCTGGGTTTGTCAAGGCAGAAAGTCCCAGGGCCCCACCCCAGTCGGGGTTATCTCTCTGGTTGCCCAGCTTCCCAGCCCCTTGGGGGCCAGCGATTGCTTCTCACTCACTGGACTGACCAGGCAGAGCCGAGCTGGAGTCTGGCCTCGGCTGCACACTTGCTGTGCGTCTGGGGAGCAAAATCCCTGTCCTTTCCGGGCCCCGGGGTGTCCCAGCAGGCCTCCCAACGCTCTTCCTGCCACAACACTGCGTGTGTCCCTTCACCCTGCCTGGATTCTAGCCAGGCCCATGACCCCCTTGGTCAGTCCCAGCAGTGACACTGCGCCCTCCTGCTGCTTGTGCCTGAGACTGGGGAGTCCTAGGTCGGGCCCCAGCCCTGACGATCTCATTTCCTCCCCTGAGGCTCCTGCTGTGAACCAGGCCCTGGGCTAGGTGTCTGTCACACATTCCCAGTTAACGCTCATGGGGCAACCCATTTTATACACCAGGAAGGCGACTCGGAGACCGAGCCCTGAGCTCGGAACTCTGCAGCGATACGGAGCAGTGGATGGGTCACCCCCAGGATCCCTTCCCAGGGAGGGGAAACCGCGGGGGCGGGGCCGCGGCGGGGGCGGGGCGGGGCGGGGGCGGGGCCGCGGCGGGGGCGGGGCCGCGGCGGGGGCGGGGCCGCGGCGGGCGCCGGCGGCCGAGCAGGCGAGAGGCTCCTCGGTGCAGCGTCAGCGCGCGACCAGCCGCCGGGTGCCATGGCCGCCGATCGGCGCGGGAAGGCGGAGACTCTGGCCCTGAGGCGGCGGCTGATAAGGTACCGAGACGGCGGCGCGGGGCGGTGCGCTCACGCACGACGCACGCACGTCCGGCGCGGAGCCCGCGGAGCCCAGGAAACCCAGCCCCGGGCCCCGAGCGGGCTCCAGCTCCCCGGCCCGCCAGACCCGGCGGCCCTCAGCTGGTTCCCGCGGCCGCCTCCTGCACTGCGTCCTCCCCGGGCCGCCCCCACCGGCGGCCGCTGCCCGGCTCTGGGCAGCCCTGCCTCTCGGAGGAGGCCTCTGCCCTGGCACCTGGGAGGACCTCCCCCAGGGTTGGCCCGCCCCCCGGACCTGGCCCTGGCCTGCGGGTGACCCGGGAAGAGGCTCAAAGTTCGGACGAAGCGTGGGCACGGGCGGGGAGGCGCGTTTCCCAAGAAGCCTTAGAGAAAGTCCACCCGTGCTCCCCGCGGCACTTGGGGCGTGAGGCAGCTTCAGGCCAGAACTTGGGGCTGACACCCAGCGGGACCGCAGAGACCCTTGGCTGGCAAGGACCCCTCGGGGCTGAGCGCCAGCCACGTGATGAGGGCGCCCTCCCTCGCGCCCATCCCAGCAAAGAAACACTGCCCGAAGGAGTCCCCATGGGTCTGGGGCAGCCACCTTTCCTTGGGATACCAGGGACTAATGTGCGCACGTGCAGAAATGAGCAGGGCCATACGGCCTTCAGATGACTTCAACAATTTCAGTCTTAGCAGCTTCTTAACACATCGCTTTCCTCCTTTCCCACCACCTATACAGTGGGGGACTAGAAACAAGAAAGCACCACTGTGCCCTTCAACCTTTTGTCCCTTTCAGAATAGCGCAGGGGAGGCTGTGGTGGGTCGACTTTTCCCTTCAGATCTTCAGACATGGCTGTCCACTTCTTGTTTGTTCTCACAGCAATTCTTGCAGACTCTTTTTTCCGGAGGATCCTATTAAGATTGTCCGGGGCCAAGGACAGTACTTGTATGACGAACAGGGTGCAGAATACCTCGATTGTATCAACAATGTGGCTCATGGTTAGTATCATCCCTCGGGCTGGCAGGGCAGGGGAGCAGGCTCAGGCTGTGAACCTGGTCCCAGGGGGATCCTGGGATTGCAGGAGGTGCGGAGAACTTGGGTTGAGCTGAGCAGAGGAGCCCAGTCTTCCTGGTGTAGCTAGAGTATCCACGTGGTAGCTGTGCTAAGCCAGACGGGAGTCAGAAACCTAGGTCTGAAGTCCAGGCCCACGTGGGACTGATGGTGAGCTCAGAGAGTGTCAGTCAGCCTGGCCATGACCAACCACACAGCAGGGTCCTGGCCAAGTCATGGCAGGGCTTCAGCCCCAGGGACCTTCTCAGGTGCTAGATGAGGAAACTGAGGTAGGAATTCAGTTATCCAGGCGGGGCCCCCACAACTGATGGAACGAAAGGGAGTCTGTGACCCAATGGGCACATTAGGGGTTAATGAAGTAGAGGTTAAAAGCCGGGGCTCTAGTCCAGACTACCTGGGTTCATATCCCTGCCCTCCATTTGCTTTATGATCTTGGGCAAGCTACTTAATTCTCTGGGCCTCAGTTTGCCGATCTGCAAAACAGACACGATCATACTAGTGCCTCACCTCAAGGTGTTTTGGAGAAATAAGTGAGTTAATTCACATAATTTGCTTTGAGTGTGCCTGGCACATGGCGAGCTCTCAGCACATGGTCCCTGTTATAATCCCCGGCTGTTGGCAATCCACATTACCTCCAGCCCCCCGCTGACTAGTTGAAGTCAAGCCTGCTGACAGACATTCCCCACATCCCGTCTTTGCCAAACAGGCCTCAAGAAGCTTCCCTAAAGACCTGGATTCTCTAGATAGGGTCTCTGCCAGCAGCCTTTCCTTCTGCCAGAATCTCAGGGACTCCCTGTCCAGAACCGCCATCTCTGTCCCCCCCCACTCCAACACACACACACACAACATTACCACTTGAGACTCCCCGCTTTCCTCTCCCACCCAACTGCTCTCCTCCGGCTAGGTTTATGGCCCGGGGCTGGAGGAGGCCCGATGGGGCCAGCTGAGCGGAGCCGCGGAGTGACGCAGGTGTTTCTCTCCCAGTCGGGCACTGCCACCCTCTCGTGGTCCAGGCCGCACACAGACAGAACCAGGTGCTCAACACCAACAGCCGATACCTGCACGACAACATCGTGGATTACGCACAGAGGCTGGCAGAGACCCTGCCGGAAAAGCTCTGTGTGTTTTATTTCCTGAATTCTGGGTAAGTGGACTTCGGCCAGCTCCCTGCCCCCGCCCCGCCCCGGGCCAGAGGGTGAGATGGTGGAGACAGACAGAACTGTTCCGGCGGGCGAAGCCTCATGTAGTGGACCCAGTGTGCGCTGGGGGAGAGCCAGGCTTGCCCCGGCTCAGCCTGTAGACCTGGGCGCTGGCTCTGTTGGATCCAGTTTTCTGGTCTGTTCGTAAGGCATGCCATTACCTCCGTTCCGTGATTGTCCTTGGGGCTTACCCAGGTTATACGTTCCTTTATTTCTGCCCTATGAGTACACTGGCACAGCTGGGGGGTTACGGCCAAATCCCTGCCCTCAGGTCGCTAGGGGTCCTTCACAGAAATGCAGAATTCCTAAGTGGGGGTCATTGGAGAAGTAAGGGGCCTGATGAGACAGAGAAGCAGTGGGGGGCCCTGGGTCTGCTCCTGCTCAGAGACGGTCAGAGAAGGCTGCCAACCCCGTTGGAAGTGTTCTTGTCAGGGTTCCTCAGCACACGAACAGCCTGTGCAAAGGCCCTGTGCACACTTGAGGACCCAAAGCTAGAGGAGCGGGTACGAGCGGACACATTCCAAGTGAGGAGTTTGTTTTGATCCTAAGAGCATTCAGGAAGCCGTCTGAGGGTTTTAATCAGGCAAGCGATGTCATCAGGGCCGAGGAAGAGCGAGAATGGACAAGGCTAGGCACCAGTTCAACAGCCAGGTGACAGGTGATGGCAGCTCACACCCGGAGTGGCAGTGGGGACAGAAGTGATGATGCGCGTCAGCACACAATGACTTGTGCATGGAACCAGCCCAGCCTGTCTGGGAGAGAACATTACCACAAATCCCACGTCACGGCATTTGGATCAAAGTGATGTCCTCTTCGTGCACCGGTTCCTGGTCATTTCTAGGAAGTGGAATTTCCCATCCTCGCTTTGCGGATGAGGAAATGGTAGTTCAGAGAAAGGATCCATCTTGCCTGGGGTCATCCACGTGGGAGAAGGCAGAGCCAGAACCAGAGCCTCTCCGGGAAGAGCAGAGAGCTGGGTCCGGGAGTCAGCTTCCTGGGCTGGGCAGTGGGGGCAGGGTTGCTGGTTGACGCCACCACGTTCAGGCTGGATTCCAGTGACTTCCACGTTGCCAAATCCAGCGGTGTCTTTGCTGTCCTTGTCTTACCCTGTCTTAGCAGTGGACTCAGCATTACCACTGTCTGGAAGTGCTCTCTGGTCTTGCTTCCAGGACGCTTTGTACTGCGGGGTTTCTGCCAGCTTCTGGCCACGCTTCGGTCTCCTGTCTCCTTGGCTGATTGCTCCTTCTCTCTTGCTCAGGGCCAGTCCTAAGCAGCTGCTTCTCTGAGCCCTCTCCCTCCGTGGTCTCACCCCGTCCTGTGGGCTGACATAGCATTCGCGTGCTGGTGACTCCCTAATTTGTGCCTCAAGCCCAGATGCTTCCCATGTGTTCCAGCCTCAAGGTTCCAACCGGACCGTCTCCAACTTGATGTGTCCAAATGGATTTGGTGGTCTTCCACCAACACCTAGCGTGGGACCGCGGCACTGGCTCTCCCAGCTTATTCCCAGGAGGACCCTCCCGCTGCCACGCCCACCCTGTCTCACCTCATAAAGGCCGCACCGCCTGCGTCTCTGCTCCAGGCGGGAGCCACACACCCTCCTCCCAGGCCCCCATCACATCCCTGTCTGCAGGTTGTTTTCTACCTCCCTCCATCTTTCTGCTGTCCATGGTGTCCTCCTCCCATCCCCTTCTACTCCATTAGCACCACCCAGCCAGAGGCTTCCTCACCAGGTGGGAGCTAAATCACGTCCCTTCTCCGATTAAAACTCTCCAGGGACGCCTGGCTGGCTCCGTCGGTGGAGCATGTGACTCTTGATCTTGGGTTGTGAGTTCGAGCCCCACATCAGGTGTGGAGGTAACTTAAAATCTTTGGAAAAACAAACTCTCTTCAATAGCTTGGCACAGCACTGACAAGAAGATCCAGCACCTTCCAGGGCCCTGCGTGCGGGGCCCCTGAGTGTCTCCCCACTTCCTCTCCCGTGCTGCCCCTGGCCCGCCTGGTGCCGTCTCGGTTCCCTGAGCACACTTGAGCACTTTTCCTGCACAGGGCCTTTGAGCGTGTTGCTCACACTGCCTAGAATCTTCCCTGTGGGGCCTCAGCTCAGGTCGTGTCTCCTCACAGAGTTTTTCTCTGACCCCTCTTTTAGGTTAGGCTGCCGTAACAAAACACCACAGACCGGGAGACCTAAGTGACAAATGTATTTCCCCTACTCCTGGAGGCCAACATCCAAAAGAAGGGGTCAGCAGCTTTGGCTTCCTTGGGGCTCTCTCCCTGGTTTGTGACTGGCCACCTTCCTGCCGCGTCTCCACTCAGTCTTCCGTGCCCCATGCCTCCTGTGTCTCTGTGTCCACAGCTCCTCTTCTTAGGAGGACACAAGTCCAACTGGCTTTGGGCCCACTCTGCTGCCCTCATTTTAATTGAATCACCTCTTTAAAGCCCTGTCTCCAAATCCAGTCACGTTCTTAGGTGCTAGGGGTTAGGACTTCAACATAGGAATTTGGGGGGACACAATTCAGCCCGTCACACCCCTTTATCTAAAGGAAGGCCCTGTGGGGTTCTCTTGGGGGCACTTACCAAAATGATCATTCTTTCCTTTTTTTGTCGTTTTTGTTTTGTTTTGGCTTGGCTTTCATGATGCATACTAGAATGTAAGTTCCAGAAGGGCCAGGACCTGTTTGACTTACTACTTGCCCCCCGCCCCCCAGCTCATAGCACATAGAAGGCATTTGGTAAAATTTTCGTGGAATGAATGACCTCGAACGACTCACAAATGGCATCCTGAGACTCTTTTTGCTGCTGGAAGGGCTCCTCGTTCCCTGTTCTCTGTAGGAAGCAGGTATCCAGGAGGAAAGACCTGGACAGCTGTCTGAGCACGGCCCTCCTTTTCTGTCATAGGTCAGAAGCCAATGACCTGGCCCTGAGGCTGGCCCGCCAGTACACGGGACACTGGGATGTGGTGGTATTAGACCAGTAAGTGCCCTTTCCAGAAGCCGGGGCCCACCACTTACTGGGGGTCATTGAGGCTCTAGCTTTGAGTGCCTTGGGCAGGAGGTTGAGGGGCCTGGGCTCATGGAGGGAAGCATGAGGACCTGGCCATAGAGACACTCCTGCATATGCCAGGGGGCTCTTTCCCCTGGTCCTCTCTTCTTGGAGCAGAGGATGCTTTGTAAGGTGGTGAGACTTGGCCCCACATTTTAGGTATTAAAATTGTCCTGATGCTGTTGAGTATCTGCTATGCACGGGGCCCAGGCCCAGGGCTGGAGCATTATCCCATCCAGGATTCATTACAGTTCTGTAGGAGGAAACCAAGCCCCCCCACCCCCGGCCCCAACTTCACAGAGGAGAGCACTGAACCCAGAGACGTCAAATGATTAGTCACCATTACCTAGCTAGTAAGCAGCCTCTCAAGAAGTCTTGCTCCCAGGCTCCCAGGCCTGTGCTGGTTCCCAGCCCCAGGACTCGGGGGCTGTGTCAGGTTGGTCTGCCCTGAGGCTCCTGAGGTGGGGAGACAGTTGTCGGGGCCGGGCCATGCAGTGCATGCCACCTGGGCCTGAGCTCCTCTCTGTTCTCCTCCTCAGTGCTTATCACGGTCACCTGAGCTCCCTGATCGACATCAGTCCCTACAAGTTCCGAGACCTGGATGGCCAGAAGGAGTGGGTCCATGTGGTATGCACTGCCCAAGCGGGCAACAGGTCGGTGTCCACCCCCCAGCCCAGATGACATGGTGCTGTCACTCCCCACAGGCACCTCTCCCAGACACCTACCGGGGTCTTTACCGGGAGGACCACCCCAATCCAGCTGGGGCCTACGCCAGCGAGGTGAAGCGCGTGGTGAACAGCGTGCAGGAGAAGGGCAGGAAGGTAACTGTGTCTGCACAGGCCCCATGAACAGAACAGCACCCGTCATTTCCTCTTGTCAGTGCAGTGCTAGAGACCGGGCACCCTGAGAGACCCTGGAACCGGGGCCCACCCTTTAGGAATCTACGTGGAGGTTTAGGTGCTCAGCAGAGAGTTAGCTAAAGACTTGTCCTGGGTGTGACAGGAGTGCAGGGGCCTGGGCTGGACTGGTGTGGGCGCGGAGGGTCCTTGGAGGAGGTGCTGCCTGATTGCAGTGAGTAGGGGTTAGCGCTCAAGGTGGCGACTGGGGGTAGGAGAGGAAAGGCATGCTAAGCAGAGGGGCGGCCTGCAGAGGTGGAACCTCACCAGTGTGGGGCCCGGCTGAGCTGGCAGGAGACGAGCCGAGAGAGGCAGGCAGGACCCCCGTGCCACAGGACCACAGGGCTCTGCCGAGGGGCTGGAGGCCACTGGGAGGCTCCGAAGGGTGTTCAGAGGGAGAGTGACGAGTCGGGGGGGTGCACGTGCGTGGGGCTGGCCTGCTCCCGTGAGGAGGCCCCACCCAGGGTGTTGCAGCGAGATGGAGCACAGGGGCAGACCGGAGAGGTGTGCGTGCTCTGGGGGAGCAGTGGCCATGGCGACAGCAGCGGGAGGGAGTCAGCTGTTGGCGTGAGGGCTTTCTGGAAGGCCTCACTGGTGCAGTGACAGCTGAACGCAGGATGGACGGCCAAGACAAGCAGGCGGTGAAGCCAGACAGATGGCAGAACCAGATCAGGGGAGCTTGGCATGTGCGTTTTAGATGCTTTACCTCCGCTTACAGAAAACCAGGAAAGCGACAGCTCTGGGGGCAGCAGGGGCAGCCGGTTCCTGTCCCGTCGGCCCCCCATCTGGGCGGTAGTCTCTGAAGCAGTTCTGAGACCCGACGTAGCTTGGAGGTCACAGCTGTGAGAAATGGGGTCCCTGAAGGGGTTTAAGCAGGACAGTGATGAGTTCAGTGACTGGGCCGAGGATCGGCCTGGCGGCCACTGGAAAACAAACTGACTGCAGGAGGCGTCCCGTGAGGTGACACCCGCGAGAGGCCGAGACAGGTGTGTTGGGGTGGAGGGGATGCGTGGGGTGTACAGATGGTGGAGAAGCAGAGGCTGTGCTGACCGATGCATCACGGAGGGGGGCCTCATTTCTCTCAGTGGGGGTGATGGGAGTCACTGGGCGGGGCAGGGAGGGAACAGGCCAAGGAGGGAGAAATCAGTGCCTTTCATCCGGGACGTGCTAAGTACAAGGAGTCTGGAGAATTCCACGTGTTAAGAGTTGGTTTGCGGCCCGAAAGAAAACCCAGTCCTAGACCAGATGTGATCTGGAGCCCAAAGGGGCCACACGGCGATGCTGGTGACTCATCCCGCCAGGAGCCAGCATTGGCAGGACGCGCCTAGCCTACCACCCAGTGCCTCCCCGGTGGTGTCCCCAGCGTTCTCTCTCCTCCACAGATCGCAGCCTTCTTTGTGGAGTCTCTGCCCAGTGTTGCGGGGCAGATCATTCTCCCGGCTGGCTACTTCCCCGAAGTGGCCGAGTGAGTAGCTGGGACGGGGTGCCTCAGGGAGGGCATTGCCGTAATGGGGCTTCCCGACTTTTGTTCCAAATTCCAGTCTCAGCCTGGCCTATTGGCCAGAATTTTGAGAAGAAATGGTGGCCCCGAGAAAGCCAGCCACCTGCCTAATGCCCCCGCCTTACTGCTGGCAGAGCCAGGGTTCAGCGTCCAAGACCCCCCAGCTCCTGGTCCGATTCCCTCTTACCGCAGACCCCGTCAGCCGTGTGTCTTCTGCCATAGGCACATCCATGGGGCTGGAGGGCTCTTCATCGCAGATGAGATTCAAGTGGGCTTTGGCCGAGCAGGCAAGCACTTCTGGGCCTTCCAGCTACAGGGAGAAGACTTTGTCCCCGACATTGTCACCATGGGCAAGTCCATTGGCAATGGCCACCCAGTAGCCTGTGTGGCCACAACCCAAGCTGTGGCAAGGGCCTTTGAAGCCACCGGCGTCGAGTATTTCAACACGGTGAGTGAAGGCTCCAGGGCAGGGGAGCACTCTGGGGTCTGTCAGACCTCACCCTGCTTGTCCTTAATGAGCAAAGGCCCCAGGCCTAGCACTGTGCCCAGCACAGAGATTCCTAAGATGCTGTTTTCGGCGGTTACCGCAGGTCAGAGGAAAAAAACATACAACCTTAAAAACTAGCATCAAACCAAAGACTGTCACAAGAGACTGTGCCTTGTAAAGTATGCAGAAAGAATACAAGGGGCCCTCCCTCCCTCCCTTCCAGCAGGCACGGCCTGCTGTGTGCCAGGCCCTGTGCCTGAGCCGACGCAGATGTATGAGGAGCTCCATCTGTTTGGATGACGAATGGTCTGGGGACAGAGTTGATATTCCAGTAGGAGCTTTGAGGAGAACATGGCTCCCCGTCCTTGGGGTACAGACTAGAGAGCTTCCCCTAAGTGAAGCGGGTCCTTGTGTTGCAGGAGAAGCCACAGCATGTTCGCTGGCTGAGAGAACACACAGTGGGTGAGGGGAGCATGGTGGTCCCCAGGGGCTTCCTTAGAAACAGCTGAGGAGTCCAGACTGGTCCCGAGGGCAGTGACGACCTATGGAAGGGTTTTCACTGGGGATAGAGGAGATGTGAAATACACTGTAGAAGGATCTCTGGTGATCAGTGTGGAGAAGGAACCAATGGTGAGGCAGGCAAGAGAGGAGGAGGCCCAAGTCTGGGCACTGGCCACAGAGAAGAGATAGGAAGGGAAGGCATCGAGGGGAAGAACTCACTGTGACTTCCCAAAAAAAGAGCCAGTTTGAATTGGAGACGGAAACATGTCAGGATTGGGCCAGATGGTCGAGAGTTGGCAGAGAAGGTCGTGAAGGGTGAGGGCTGACAGTTCGGCAGATCGTCACTCGACGCCCAGGGGACACGCAGACAGAGCCTCTGCCCTGGACAAGCTCCCCATTGAGGAAGACAGACCCACAGACACCTGATCAGGGAGGCGTAGAGAAGGGCTTGATGGAAGGGGTGTGACGTCAGTGCTCAGAGAGCACGGGGACAGCACAAGGGACGTGGTGGGGGGGGCCAAGAAGAGGAGAGGTGTGGGAGGACTAGCCCTGGGGGCAGACTACCCAGTGGAGCACGATCCAGCTTTTTTTGTTTGTTTCTTTGTCTTGACCTGAAGTGCACATAGTTAGATTATATAAACCTCTGTCCCTGCACGGTTCTCTCCTCGTTAACCAGTTAAACTAATAATTACTTTTATTAATGTCGTAAGCATCCAAGAAGCCATCATTCCAAGTAAAAGTTAGGCCCTGGACGGTAACCTGTATCTACCCATATTGCTGCCCCCCTACCCCCCAGCCCGATAACCACCTCCGGGTTCATTGTTCATTCTAGTTGTTTTTTTATCCTTATAAAAAGTGTATAATGCCATGTGTTCTCTTGGGGGATTGGTTTTTTGCACCTAACATGATATTACTGAGAGTTGTCCACATTACTGGTCACTGAAGTTGGACTGCTTCATAATATCCCACTGTCTGAATGTGCCGTGATCCGTTTGTGCATTCCCGGTGATGTGCTTTGGGAATGTTCCCATGGTTTTTGGGGCTATAAACAATTTTTATAAGTTTCTGTTGTGCACATGCAAGAGTTTTTCTTGGGAATAGACCTAAAAGTGGACTTGCTGGGTCATGGGGTCTGTGTTCACTCTCCATTTTTAAGAGATGATGACATCTGTTTTCCAAAGTAGTTCACAAGTTAACTACCAGCGGTGGATAAGAAATTCTGTGGGTCTGCTTCCTCTCAAACACCTTTTAATGCTTGCCAGGCAAGTGGGGTGTAAAATGGTAACCCCTCAAATCAGGGAATGGTCTTGACGTGCCATTGCCTGGTTTCAAATTATGTGAAACATCTTTATGTATTTTTTTTTCTTATTTTAATGTAATTCCAGTTAACATACAGTGTAATATTAGTTTCAGATGTACAACATAGTGATTCAACACTTCATACGTCACCCGGCGCTCATCACAAGTGCACACCTCAATCCCCTTCACCTACCTCAGCCGTCCCCCACTCCCTCCCCTCTGGTAACCAGCAGTAGTCTGTTTCTTGACTTGTCTCTCTCTCTGTTTTTTCCCTTTGCTTGTCTGTTTTGTTTCTTAAATTCCACATGAGTGAAATCATAGTATTTTGTCTGTCTCTGACTTATTTCATTTAGCCTCATACTCTCTAGGTCCATCCATATCGTCACAAATGGCAAGATGTTGTTCTTTTTTATGGATGAATAATATTCCATTGCATAAATATACCACTTTTTCTTTATGCATTCATCAGTCAGTGGACATTTGGGCTGCTTTCATATCTTGGCTGTTATAAATAACCCTGCTGTAGGGGCACCTGGGTGGCCCAGTCGTTAAGCGTCTGCCTTCTGCTCAGGTCATGATCCCAGGGTCCTGGGTTCGAGCCCCGCATCAGGCTCCCTGCTCCGCGCAGAACCTGCTTCTCCCTCTCCCACTCCACCTGCTTGTGTTCCTGCTCTCACTCTCTCTCTCTCTCAAATAAAATCTTTAAAAAAAATAACAATCCTGCTATAAACATAGGGGTGCATGTATCCCTTTGAATCAGTGTTCTTGTATTCTTTGGGTAACTACCTCATAGTGTGATTGCTGGGTCATAAGGTAGCTCAATATTTAAGTTTTTGAGGAACCTCCATACTGTTCTCCACAGTGGTTGCACCAGTTTGCATTCCCGCCGATAGTGCAAGAGGGTTCCTCTTTCTCCACATCCTCGCCAACACCTGTTTCTTGAGTTGATTTTAGCCATTCTGACAGGCGTGAGGTGATATCTCCTGTAGTTTTGATTTGCCTTTCCCTGATGGTAAGTGATGTTGAGCATCTGTTCATGTGTCTGTTGGCCATCTGGATATCTTCTCTGGAGAAATGGCTTCTGCCCGTTTTTAAATTGGATCATTTGTTTTTTGGGTGTTGGGTTTTATAAGTTCTGTATTTTAGATATCTTCATATGTTTATTGGCCATGTGTTTCCTGTTCTGCAAAATGCCTATTTTTTCTTTTGCCCATTTCTTGATTGAGTTACTAGAACTTTTCTTATTTAAAACTAGCTTTGTGTGCCTCTATATGCATTTGTGTGTGTATGTATATAAATAGGCACGTGCGCGCACACACATTTTTTTTTTTTTAAGATTTCATTTATTTGAGAGAGAGAGAGCACAAGCAGGGGGAGCAACAGAGGGAGAAGCAGGCTCCCCGCTGAGCAGGGAGCCTGACATGGGGCTCGATCCCAGGACTCTGGGATCACGACCCGAGCTGAAGGCAGACACCCAACGACTGAGCCACCCAGGCGCCCCCATATTCTTGATAATAGTCCTTTGTCAATTGTGTAGATTGGGTCCTTCAATAATTTTCAGGGAATTCTAAGTTCAAAACTGTGAGGACCAGGGCACCTAGGTGGCTCAGTTGGTTAAGCTTCCGACTCTTTATCTCAGCTCAGGTCTTGATCTCAGGGTCATGAGTTCAAGCCCCACATTGGGCTCCATGCTGGGAAGTGTGATCTGAGAAACTGACCAATTTTTCCTTGTAATACTGTCGATTTTTTGCTTTATTTCATATATATTAAACATATACATATTTTTTATTTCTATATGTTCATTGGGAATTGAATCTTTTTTTTTTAAGAGTATATTTTTAAGTAATCTCTATACCCGATGTGGGGCTCAAACTCACTGCCCTGAGATCAAGAGTCACATGCTCTACCTACTGAGCCAGCCGGGCACCCTGGGAATTGAATCTTTATTTTTGTTTTTAAGATTTTATTTATTTATTTGAGAAAGAGAGAGACAACATGAGCAGAGGGAGAAGGAGAGGGAGAAGCAGGCTCCCCACTGAGCAAGGAGCCTGATGTGGGGCTCGATCCCAGGGCCCTGGACTCCTGACCTGAGCCAATGTCAGATGCTGAACCGACTGAGCCACCCAGGCGCCTCTTTTTTAAAACTTGAGGTATGACTGACGTACTAGTTTCAGGTACACAACATAATGATTCGATATTTATCTCAAAATGATCACCAAAACAAGTCTAGTTAACATCCATCACCACACATAGTTACAGATTTTTTTTCTTGCAATGAGAACTTCTAAGGTCTACTCTCTTAGTAACTTTCAAAAATACGGTAGAGTATTATTACCTATAGTCCCCATTCTTCACATTTTACCCCCAGAACTTATTTATTGTAACTGGAAGTTTGTACCTTTTGACGAACTTCACTCACTTCACCCATCCCCCACCACTGCCACCTGTGGCAACTACTGATATGTTCTCTGGATCTAAGCATTCCATTTTGGGTTTGTTTTTTGCTTTTTTTTTTTTTTTTTAAGATTTTATTTCTTTGAGGGCGCCTGGGTGGCTCAGTCCTTAAGCGTCTGCCTTCAGCTCAGGTCAGATCCTAGGGTCCCAGGATCGAGTCCCACATCGGGCTCCTTGCTCAGTGAGGAGCCTGCTTCTTCCTCTCCCTCTACTGCTCCCCCTGCTTGTGCTCTCTCTCTGTCTGACAAATAAATAAATAAAAATCTTAAAAAAAAAAAAAAAAAGATTTTATTTCTTTGAGAGAGAGAGCACGAGCAGGGCGGGGAGCAGCAGGTGGAGGGAGAGGGAGAAGCAGACTCCCCGCTGAGCAGGGAGCCCAATGCAGGACTCAATCCCAGGACCTTGAGATGGAGACCTGAGGCCACAGGCAGACGCTTAACCAACTGAGCCACCCAGGCGCCCCTGTTTTTTGCTTTTTGTTTTGATTCCACAAATAAGTGAGATCCAGAATTTGTCTTTCTCTGTCAGACTGATTTCACTTAGCATAATGTCCTCAAGGTACAAGGCATGCTGTCACAAATGGCAAGATTTCCTTCTTTTTTATGATGGGATAATATTCCATTGTATATATATACGCATTTTCTGTATCCATTCAACCATGTGCGGACACTTAGGTTGCTTCTATGTCTTGGCTATTGAAAACAGTG